ATAACGTAAATTTCATTATAATCGGTCGTAGTAAACAAACCTTATCCCCAATAATAATATTAACTTTTAAAAGTTATCCTTAACAATTCCCATTCATGAATGCATCTAGGTCAAAACTAATAATTCCAAAATTAAAAAGTCTATCATCTATATTGTCGGAAAACGTGCTTGTCCTCGGAACTGTTTATTAGTTTGTCCGGAAATATCAAAGTCACCAATCAGATTATAGTAGTTGGGTAGCTTATCATTAACACAAAGATTGGATCATGACTTGGCTTGCGACTTGTTGTGGAAAACAGTTTTCAGCACAAGACACTTTTATCGTAGTTTTAATTACTGTCCAGTAATATTCAATAAATACATAACCGTATCCCTATAGGAAACTGTTATAAATTCCTAATATGCAATACAGTATTGTAATAAAAATTCACTGTTTGAAATTGTTTACACACCGGTGGCGTAATGAATTTACATCAAGACCAAATAAAAAGTGGTGTTTAAGTTAGTAAAAGTCACACCACTATCGTCTACATACTTTGAATTATAAAACATAGAACCACCAACGACAAATGCACCGTAACGTACACGCTAGAGCTATAGTTAATCAACTGGTAGCCTATTTGAGGTTCACATAAACTTCAGTCATTCCTTCAACTATACAAGTAACCGCTCTATTTCCGTGTCACTGTCATGTAGCTAACAATCAACAATCATATTCTAATTTTCATAGTACAAAAAATGTAGCAGGAGTTCAAGTTTAAAAAATCTGCGCACATGTAGAAAGCAGCTATTAATTACCAAATATTACAAAATCCATAGCGTATTGCATATTTTCATTTTTTACACTGCGAATAATATGGTACATATTTGTTTTCTATAATCATCTAAGTTATCTAGCGTGGCGAGAGCTCGTTATGTTGCATGTCGGTTTGCTGTAACGTATGTATACACTTTGTTTGAGGTTAACCTGCTTATAACTGGATCGATAAACTTGAGGTCCTAGGTCCATGTGGAAGAGCAGTTCATTGCAAAATTTGAATAGTACAGTACAAGAAACCTGTATTCTCGGCCTCACCTCCACTGCACTTACTTATAGTCATCCTCGGAGTCGGTGACCTTGACGTCTCTGTGACCTTGGCTTGACCTCTGGTCTGAGGTCGCAGTGAGAAGCTCCTTCCTCAGTGAAGGGTGATCGGACCTTTTAAACAAACCCTGTCGCCCGGTCATCAAGGTGCAGTTTGTCCCGCGTGCCAGCAATAATCAGGACATTGACACCATTTGCCATGCTAATTTCTTACTTTCATGAATATCAAACACACACATGATTTAAACCAAAGATTTGTTTTTCAAATCGACCGAAAAATAAACTACCCTCATGCTTCTTGCGTGCACAAGTAAATATTGTAAGCCTAAAGATGAAAGAAATTAAGAATAAAAAAAATAATGATACATTGTAATGTATTTGTTGGAGCACACTTTATAAGTACCGGTATTACATATTCGCTGCCAAGTATAGGTTGATAGGATTAAAAAAAATACTATTATTCGTATTAATAGAACTGATTTGATCAATAGTATTCTGAAATAATGCGATTAAACGACGTTCCTATGTTGTCATGGTAGTGCAGCGCACAGCGCACTGTTGTAGGCCCAAAAGAGTGGAAGTCCTCTTCTTGAAAATACCACTCTCCGCAAAGTTACTGATTCATGGTATGTGTTTTCCTTTCTTTAATTTCTATCATTTATTATCATTTAAATTTTCTATTTCTGTAAGATATCGAATGCGACGACATATAGATCATAATAATGCATGCGTTTGATGTTAGTCCCGTTAAATACAAACATGCAATAATAAACGTTTGGATTCGTCAAAGCCTTTGATGACGTCACAATAATTAGCTTTGACAAGTTACCGCTCCTACCGCACCATCGTGGAGTCAACCATCATCTTCTCATTGCAGACATGGACTGACTGGCTCGTTGTTGTAAGATGCAGTAATGAGATGGTAGACATCAGACATTCCTCCTTCATTGCTGACTCTGACTCCGCTTGCGGCGGCGTTATCTGTATTATTAAGCTATACATGCTGTTATCACTTTTGAATTTATTTCATTGCACTTTCGGATCAGCATACACGGGAAGCTGGATCTTTTCAACACGTCCATTACAGTTTACGTTTCTTCTCGTGTAAAGAAACCTCACTGACTGAATCTTATACCATCCTTTTTTAAATTACTAAACGGGGCTGAAATTAAAAGGTTTGGGTCGTCGTCGAGGTCCCAGAGATTGTTCACTACATGCTACGTTGAGCGACTACGTTGAGCTACTTCATGGACGGTGCTGTAGGCGTACATGTGCCAGTCCCGGTCCCAGTTGACCTCGCACAACGCAGTTATTGTTCCTTCAGCGCGTTGACTCGCTGATTGGATGATTGGCAGTAATGGCCGCCGATGTACTCTGTGGCGGGATTCCTCTACGGATTACTCGATGGATCATCATGATGGACAATGACGTGTATTTTGGCGGGAACCAACGAACCAGGCTGGAAAAGAGGGAAACACGTCCGAGTAGTTTGTTGATTGTGCAGAAGACAACTTCAGTCAAATTAAGCACGTAGTCTGTAATGGTTTGTACGTTTTGTCTCTGACGTGTCCGCGGTGTTCGTCTGATGTTTTCTTTGCAGACAACCACATAGACTTTCGTAACAAAAACTTGAGTTTACACTTAATTCAAAGTTTACTTACAAACAAATAATTAAGAAGATACATACCTACCTATAATAAGTAGATTTATATTTAATAATTTCGGAGTTTATGATACAAATAATAAAGGTGAGGATGAAAATGCACATGCAAATTCATTTTTTAAAGTTAAAATCGTCACCCTTTTGAATCGTAAAATGAAAATTAGATTGCATTCTACCCAAGATTAATTTTGCTCTCGTGGTTATGTAGACACCTATAATGCCTATGATTTATTCTGTGCCGGAGACCATTATAAATATTTATCACCTTCGAGCGCAGTATGCATTGTAGTCAGTGGCGATGTGACGAATATTAGAACTATCATCAGTCCGTCACGTGATGATGATCGCGTGCCTCACTCACACACGCACACTCAATCAATTCTTTCTTTTGCAGTTAACGACCAGGACTACATCAAGTGATGAATTCTCAGTTACTTAACGCCTTTTTTGCTATAGAGACTATTTGGCAATCATAATCCATACGATTTTGATAACACTCCAAGAACTTGCTATAGAAAATATCACAATTAGTATTATGGATTTGTCATTAGTATACGCTTGAGTGTTTCACCACGAAGACTCTGTCGCAGCTGATTGCTGTATTATTTACTCAACGTAGGTTCTGGGCTCCTTAGCGTTAGTACTTCTTTATTATCTCAGTAATTACTCAAGTTCCTGGTAACTAGCCTTAGCATTCCGTCATAACACGTCCTTGAGTTACACAATGGATTGCATAGTAGTTCATTACTGATAGTGATATCAAGCAGCGCCTACTGATGTAAACCATCATGCATATTGGTGTTATTGTAAAGTAGGATTAATGTAATAAAATAAAACGTATATGATGGTCATGGTCCCGAGCTCTATGTGTAAGATGGCCTTAATAATAATTATTGTGGGTGTCATGGCGTCAACCACATGTTGTTTAAATACCAAAGGCGATATAATTTGACCACTATTTAAAATTTTAACAAGGTTTAATTTGAGCCTTTGTACGGCTGCCATTTTTTGACTTAGTTACAGTATCCGTTTAAGTTGGGCTTGTGCTATTCTATTCTACTATCTATTCAACAAATTCAAACCCTTAACATTAAATTGTTAATGTTAATTCTAAATGTGCATATTATCAAACTATGATTTTCATTGATAATTTTCTTCTAGCCCCTTGTCTCCCTGAGGAGGTAAAATATCATTAAATAATGTTTTAAAATAGTTTCTATTCCGGGTCGCCGGAATTTTATCCCCCTGGAATTTTACCCCCTGGGCAAAGCTGACGTCACTATGACGTAGTAGCCTGAGTGGCCAAAAGTTTGTTCGCGGCCGGAATTTTACCCCCGCGGATTTGGAAGTCTAATGAAAATAGTCAGAGCGTGATTAATTAGATTAGCGATAAAAACCGGAATTTTACCCCCTGTCCATATAACTAGCGTTTAGACAACTTAAGATGTACGGGCCGGATTTTTACCTCCCGGAATTTTACCCCCGGAATTTTATCCCCGGATTTTTACCCCCCGGAATTTTACCCCCTGGCAGATTTTAGAAATTGAGTGATTGATTTTATTATTTCTGTTTTTAATTAATTGTAAACATTTCATTATTTAGTAGCCTATCTTTATTTATTTATTTTGTAATCTCAACTAAGTAAACAGAATTCGCTGTTTTATTTTGATCATATTAACTAACAGTTGGCTTCAAAGATCGAATCCTGATACTCAAATCTCAAAATTAAAATTAAAAACCTGTTCGATTAGTTAATGTTACAAATAATTTAAGATAGGCTACTTAATGATAAAATGTTTACTATTAAATTAAAACTGAATAAAGATAATCAATCATTCTCACTAGTTTATATATCTGGCCAGGGGGTAAAATTCCGGGGGTAAAATTTCGGGGGTAAAATTGCGGGTGTAAAAATCCGGGCCGTACATTCTAGGTTTTTATAATTTGATGTGTTCTGATGAAGTTCACAACCGTGAAAATATATGTTTAATTCCACGTTTAATCCATCGAGCTGATGTCGCAAAACTCAAAAGTTCGCGGCCGGAATTTTACCCCCTGGTTTGTGACGTCACGTTTGCCCAGTGGGTAAAAATCCAGGGGGATAAAAATCCGCTACTCCTCTATGCCTAGTAGGTAACTTTGTTCCAAGTTTCGTAGGTGTTGTTTTTTATATTTAACTGTCCTAGGACTTGTACAAGGATTTGTAGCTGCCCTTGTATGATGTGTTAAACATAATGAACTGTATTGTTCCAGAGCTGCAGCACGCATCATGTCTGCGGCAGTGCCACGAGCTGGACTGGCCGATGATCTGCCGTGTCAAGCTGGTACTGGAGGTCTCGTCAGCTGTAACAAGGTACAACAGACACAGACACTACATCATTGAGGCTCATAAATATTTAGGTGTTCTACTAAGTTAATGCTTAAATAGTTATTTGTGTAACTATAGTGTACTAGTGGCTTGTAGGGACATAAGTCCCTAAAAAGCTCAAATGTAAAACAACTTTTTGCAATACCGGTATTTAAACAAACTCAGAATAACATTATCTATGTGTCAGAATAGGCATCCCTACACCATATCTTTTGTGTAAAAACCAGTTTGTTGTTCTTCTTTGTTTGCTTTTGTTGATGTCATTTTCAATAAATAATTTGAATCACTCCAGTGGTTTAACATGAAAAGGCAGCAAACATATCATTGTTTGTGAATAAATACTGGTTTACTAAGGTAGCTTTGGTCTTGTGGTTAATGAGGATAAATAAAAGCTTCCCTGTTTGGAATTTTAAAAATTCATTGGAGGTTCGCCTTCAGGTGAATTGAAGACGCCTGCAATTTCATCTGCAGTAGGCTTATTATACCTACGACGATCCATATTTATCCTGTCTACAAACCTAAGTTCTAATTCACTGTCACCTTGTACAACCATTTCTTCCGAAGCTCTTTTGTAAATTTGTGCAAATGGATTTTCTAATAGAATTTCAGCTAGTTTTGACAATATTTCAGGTTTTAAGTCACTATTTTCTCGACGCCTTTGACGGATTTCTGTTGCTGTGTCAATAATGTACAATTGTTGTTGATGTGTTAATGGGGATGCGGAATACTATCCCCCGGAAAACTACCCCCCCAGGTGAAACGTGACGTCACAAAATCTGCTAACTAACCAATATGGAAGCCGTGTCCGCGACTGGAATACTACCCCCCCTAGACAAATCATGCTATGTAATTTAAATTTTAATTCAAGTAATTCCGTTGGATAATAGAAAATGCATGTGGTGAATATAAAACAGATTTTCGAAATGTTACAGCAAGTTTGGTTGGTTAGGTTAGGTTAGATTAGAACTGTTTGACAACTAAATTTGAGTGTCCGTGACTGGAAAACTACCCCCCCGGTCTCTGACGTCAATATGACGTAGGAACCTGCTCGGGGGGGTAGTTTTCCGGGGGGCAGTCTTCCGGCGACCCGTGTTAATAATGTACAATTGGCCATACACGGGGTCTTCATCATGTTGAGGCAGCAAATCTGAGATTGAACGATAAATCTGTCCTTGAATTTTGAAACAGTATGGTCCTTTTCCTGGAATATCTTTCTTACTGGCTGAAAAATAAGCAAAAGCCATCGCACTGTTGCATTGTCGAATGAATTTATACAGTTGTGTGCTCTCTTCAAACAAACTTTTAAGTTCTACATTAGTTTTTGACTGAGGAAGGTTAATAAGTCCGTTATGGCAACATGTCATAAAATGATTATTCGTTAGTTCTTCTCTAAAATGAAGAGCACTACATTGAATGCACTCTTGGTCCAATAATCCTGCATCATGGATCTTTACATTTCTCTCGTCTACCATGGGTCTCCTAAAAAGGGGTTGTAACATATCTTGATTAAGTTCGTCATTATCTACTCTTGCTACGCGCACTGTCATTCCTATGAACAGTTCCCCGCCTTTGTGGTATTCCCCTGGCGTTCATATTAATTACAGTACTTATAATGAAAAGAATATATTATCCAGCAGCCTACATACCAAAACATCTTGAATCCATGGTGATTTTATAAAAGTATGATCGAATATGATTACTCTACGTTGTATATTCACTGTACTAAAAAAATTAACTTACGAATGAATGCAAATACACCATTTTAGAACCAATTAGATTTATAGGTTATTTTAATTGTATATATTCACACAACCTTAACCTTAAAATGTGTAGAAATATAAAGAAAACAACATAATTTAAAATAAGACCAATTCAAGCCGGAGTCCCACAGGGTGCAATTCTTTCACCTCTATTATATAACATTTACACCTCTGATTTGCCATTGTCAAACCATGTCCAAACAGCCGTGTTTGCTGATGACACCCTACTCTACTCTACACACCATGACATCGAAGTTGTGGCCAATAACATTCAAATTTCCTTAAACGATTTGGTAGAATGGTTCACAAAATGGAGAATTGCCATAAATCCGACGAAGAGTGAAGCGAAGATTTTTACCCTCCGAAAACCGTTAGATCCTCCAAATTTAGAAATTCTAGATGAACAGATTGCATGGAACCCTCCTGACCAAGCAATAAAATATTTAGGTGTATACTTCGACCGAAAGTTAAATTGGAAATTTCATATAAATAAAAAATTAAATTTGGCTTATGGCAGATTATCAAAATTATTTCCATAATCAACAAAAAATCATGTATGTCTATGAAGAATGGAACCCTTTTATACAAAACACTTCTACGTCCACTATTGTTATACGCCTGCCCAGTATGGGGAACTGCTTCATCAAGCTCGATTCGGAAACTGCAAAATAAAGTTTTAAGGATAATTCTAAAATGTCCCTGGTATTTTCGAACCCGCCAAATACATTTAGAACTGGGAATAAAACCTATAGAAGATTTCATCAAGAAAGTTACATCAAAATTATTTACAAAACTTCCATTAACCAGCAGCATTGGTTTTTATAACACAGGCCAACCTTCTGAAATCCAGAGACTCCGACTAAAACCCAGATTGCCTCAAGATGTTTTGTTATAACCATTTTTTTTTCCATTTGTGTTTCATTGGTGGACAGTGCCTTTACAGTCCGACCCGCTAAAACAGTGACAATAAGTGCCCGAGGGGCTAGCCATAGCTGACCTCTACCTATGTTAATGTAATTAATAATGTTATTTTTGTCTTTCTTGTATTATACCTAACCTGTATAGCAATGTAATGCTGATCGGTTAATAAAATCTTAGAAAAAAAAAATTAAAATAAACTTGAACATATGATTTGAAAATAAAAACAAAACAGAAGTTAGATTTAATTTCGACTCTTTGATTATTTATACAGAATATTTATTCTATGTCGTTTATTCCTTAACACGACAATAACGTAAAAGCATGAAAAAATGAAACTTGAGTATATGATTTAAATATAAACAAAGAATGCAGACGTTTTTCCGACTAATCTTCAATATTTCAGTTTTATTATAGTATACATTTCATAGTTGACTGGCTAAAAGTAAACCAAATGCGTGTATTGATCACTGTTTTCAAATCTGTGGCACAGCTGTTTTAATTTCAAAAGATGTAAACAAATTAAACCCCATGTTGTTTTAATGGGAAAAGTTTTATTCTGTTGCGAATTTATGGTAAAAAAATAAGAAAAATGAATAGTTTTCCCTCAAAATTCACGTCAAGACCTTTAAAATAAGACCCCTCCCATCCTTCTACGGCCATCCAGTCACTCACAATTTCTTTACAAAAATTTGACTTACGGAATTATATATATAGATTAGTGTATTGGGAAACGCTGCACCAACTGATCGTTGATCGAAGTCGTAATATCTTTAAGTGTGCCAACTTATTTTTAAGGGTACGTACGTGCCTAATAAAAGCACACCGTTTTGTGTTGTTTGGTTGGGATACTGGTATGCAGCAATGCAGCAAAAAAAGCATGAGCAAAAATAAGTAAATGTAGCAATTAGCAACTCTCTGTACCATAATCAGTGCAAAAGAAGCGCACTTTGTCAGGTGACTGTAGGAAAAAAAGGTTTATTGTAAGAAAAATATTAATTTGGGAGTACTTTGTTAGGCTTAAAATGATCACAGTTTATGGAATGCTCATTTTTTATCAATAAACCATCATACAATTCAAATATAAAAAAATAATAATTTAATGCCATTGGGAGCCACACATGCTAATAATTATTACTAGAAATCACAATAATTTTGCAATACCAGCTCATCATAACCTGGAATTATTATTTAAAAAGAAGTCCAATAATGCTGGCACAATATTTTTCCAAATTTAGTTAATGTTAAAGAATGTTATTAAAAGAAAACCTGCAATAGAATAGACCACATCCATATCTGACGACACCGTATCTGTCAGACCTAAATTAACTTAGGTACTATGTTTTATCTACTGTGCCTGTACCTAAGTTAAGTAAGTATTAATAAGTGAAATTAATCTGTATGCGTTGTATACAGTGTGAATTAAAAGTCCCGGAACAATGTAATATATTTTTTGCCGTTTTAGATAAAGTAATAAAACTTGGTATATCAATAATAAACATGAATTGCTACTCTTTCAAGTTATTATTACTTTTTTACCTTTTTTAAGGGGGATGGCCCACGAGAAGTAAAACAAAATTCTATAATAGCAGCATAGGTCACGTTTGGTATCAAATTGAAGGTCTCATTTAGTACAACACATTGCCGCAAACCCGAACTCAAACGGACAACCGAGTAAAAAATGGCAGCCGTTCAAATATTTCTAGAATCTGCCATTTTGAATCTTTTGAACGGCTGCCATTTTTTACCCAGCTGTTATTTTGAGCTCAAATTTGCGGAATTGTATTCTACTAATAAAGACCTTTATAGTGATGTGCATATCGACCTATGCTTACGTTAATGATTTTCTTCCGACTTCTAGCGGGCGACCCCACAGCATTGCAAATTTAAGGAATCTTTGAACGGCTGTCATTTTTTTACTCCATTGTCCGTTTGGGTTTGTGGCATTATGTTTTACTAACAGACACCTTGAATTGATACCAAACTCGACCTCGGGTGGCGTCGTCCTGTAATCCAGCTACTTGGAGGTCACGGATTGTGGATATTTATAGGCATGCACTGTGGATGGGATACTCCCTGGTGTGGATTAACGTCCGCACTAGTGAGTACTACTACTATCCGCAGTACTATCCTGATAATTAGACCAATTCGTATATACCAAGGAAAAATGTGGTTCGGATTCCACTATAAACTGTAGGTCCCTTAGTTGCCATTAGCTGTTTGGGCTATTAATTAACAGCTGTGTCTAAGGTATGTCGGCCTTAGTCACTAACAAGACTACAAGATCGCGCCACTCATCCTACACTCATCTCCATTCATACTTGGCTTAAAATACCTACATAGTATGGTCGCCATTTCATAAGAAAGTATAAAGTATAAAAGTATAAAGTATGCTGCTGTTTAAGAATTTTGCCTGACTCCTCCTTGGCCGCCCCCCTTAATTGGTAAAAAAGTAATAATAGCTTAAAATAGTAGACATTTAAGGCTATAACTGATTTACCAAGTTCCATTTCTTTACCTATAAAAGTATAAAGTATATTAAACCGTTCCGGAACTTTTCAATCACACTGTATTGTATTTAGCTGAATAGGCGCAAAACCTTAAGGGTTAACCGCCAATTTTGATGGGTTTCCACAAATTATAAATTTAATATAAAATTAGAATGATGCCATGGGTTTTTACAACAGTGTCTTCTTCCCAGGTAACACTTTTCTCATAGTCTGATTGGGCTCCCGACCATACACCAGGGATAGAACACCTAGGATAGATTGATGCTCATCAATGACTGTTTATTTCCATTAATTAATTTGTATATTGTCTTTGACTTTTGCTCTGCAAAATTCACCATCTCAACAGTGGTGGCGATAGCGGGCCCGTGGTACGGGGGGACGCCGCGAACTAGGGGGGGCCCCGAGCCTTGACCGGGATTTTCGGGAAATTTTACCAGGCCCGTGACAGTTTGACGTGCTCTGCCCGCATGATAATTTTGATGCTCATAACAATATTTATATGAGAATTACCATGAGTTTTTTTTTACAAAAATTTTTAAAACCGCTAGGACAAGTAGTTTACAACAGCTAAACTGGCACCACACTTGACCCCATGACCGATCGATAGAAATTCTATACTAACATAAGTAAAAGAATTTTCATCAGTCATGCAGGTTGCATCAACTGTCCTCGTGGACTGTGTTAAGGCGCTATAATAGGGCCGTATTTAGATCCGATATGGCCTCCAGATCACACCAGAGATGGCCTTCTATGCTAATTCAACCAAATGAACTTGACCATTTCTTGCGATCAAATCGGCTACTAAACCTAGGAGATTATAAACTAGCTAATAAATAATTCCATTCTTTCATTGATACTATTAATTAGGAGGCTGCACTTTAGATTTGTTTACTTCGAGTCAGGTCAAAAATGTTACTTACCTACTTTTGAGCCAAGCAGAGTCTGGCCTACAAGATTGAGAGATCAAGCACAAAGGCAGAAAATATGGCTCAAGCCGATTTTCTCAATACTCAATACAATAATACCTGATTAAAAAGTAGAAAAAAAGTAAAAGCTGTTCCACGAGGATCACCCTCACGAGATTGAAAGTTACGCTTTTGCAGCGATCGCGGATATGGACGAGATCATTTCCCCGTGTGAGGTTTTCAATCTTTTGCCGCGATTGCGGAAGAAGATAATGATGTCCACATGACCGCAGGAGACGTTCAGGATTTTGCTGCGATAATGGAATAAAATTGTAATGTTTCCTTGACCATGCACGGTATTCTAGATTTTTACGCTATTGCAGAAGACGATGATGACGTTTCTTTTTCCGCTGGTGATATATCTAGGATTTTCCCGCGATTGCAGAAAAAAAGTATAGTTTCCGTCCCCGCGTGAGATATTAGGGATTGGGCTACGAATGGAGGAGATGGTGATGTTGTTATCTGAAAGTCCTAGGTTTGGTTGCAACCACGGTAGGCTATGATAATGTTTTCATGACTACTGGTAGTAATCACGATTTTTCCGCTATCATGGTGGAAAACGATGATGACGCCTCGGTGACTCGGGAGATGCTGTGCCAAGCAAAGTGCAGGTTTAGGCGGAAATACCTGTGATAATGTTTTTAAAGTTTATTGGGAGGAGGGGGGGGGGGCACAAGCTCTTATCACGGCCACTGCATCTCAAGAACCTTCTCAGTAATTTAGTGATGGATGTGTAGACGACTGAACTGTACCCAACAGCTAATGGCCTTTATCTAGACCTACACCAAGGGAAAGTGCTCCATAACTGTAGATTATGTACCTATATGTTTCAGGAGCAGCAGTTCCTGTGGCCACAACAGTACAGAGTGTGTGGAGGGATGTGGCAGAAGAGTAGGACCAATCAAAGCCAAGCTGCTCACAGCTAACGGCCTCGCACCTGGACCTACGATTGAGGTGATGGAATCGTGGATCATAATTTAGGATTGGTATTAGTCATGTTATGTCATGTCACCTAAAAAAATAACACTATCCTAACTCACATATTGCATCCTCTATGGATTAGTCCAAAAAGGCTTTAAGAACCGGTAATTATTTATTTCATGCAATAATTAAATTTAATTATTTAGGAAATTGTTTCAACAAAACAGAAACAGGCAATGTAGCTTGTAATATCATGCTAGGTGGTGTAATCATCACTTTATATTCATTGTTTCAGTGTAAATGGAGATCTGTTTGAAACAATTAACTTAGTTCACTTGCTCATGTCTTAGCTAGGTTGCTAAGTGGTTATTATGGTTATAATGGTTATAATGCTCATCTAGTAATCAGGTTGCTGGTTTAATCCTGACGGATGTCAGTAGCTTTTTAATGCTTTGAACTGGACCTAGCTGTCTTTGATAAATGGTCCTGGCTTAAGACACATCTTCTCTTAGTAAAAAAGCCACACAAGTTATATCACTCCATTCTACACACATTAATTGTTAACAGACACAAATTTTCTTCAGGTAAAACAAATTCTACATTTTGCTTCATTTCAATGTTATAATAATGTGAATACACTTAGTAAAATACCTAATTCAAGCAAACCCCCTAATTGCAGGGCTGCTGAAACAATCAAAGAGTACTGTTGTATTAAGTATGTTCTTTTAGTCATATGATTTATTTGTGTTTAAATATCTTTTGTTGACAGATGATTTTTGTAAACATGTTTTGGTAAACATTAGTTTAGTTGGAAATAGAGTTTGTTGAAACAAGATGTGTGTTTAATATTCTTGTATTAGAAATAGAACATGGTGGCAGCTTAGTGGATTTTTATCGAACTGAAAGTCTAAAACCACGCATAATGTCAAGTAAGGGCAGAAAAAAACGAAATACTCGGAGGCAAAGGTATGAGGATAACGGTGAGGACGACACCCAAAGTGAACTCAACTACGTTTCAGAAAGGGACTCTAGAAAGACTAAAGATGAGTCACGAGGTTTTGCATTGGGACATACGAACCGAGAAAATGATGCAGCTATGTATACTCCTACTCCGATGATCAATATCACTTTACCAACTCCAGAAACGTTCTCTTTTACTCCGAATGAGTGGCATTCCTGGAGGAATCGCTTTCAAAGGTACAGACGGGGTTGCGGTCTGGATAGCACTTCCGACGCTCGGCAAATCGATGTACTTTTGTTTGTAATGGGTAGTAGAAGTGAAGATATTTTCGATTCGTTTTCACCAAAACCTAATACTTATGACGAGGCTCTTAGGGCCTTTGATGAATACTTTGTGCCAAGACGGAATATAATTTATGAGAAATCAAAATTTTTGAGACACAAGCAAGGGAGTGATCCATCTGAAAAATTTATAACAGATTTGCATGGCCTTGCGAAAACGTGTGCATGGGGTGAACTAAATGATGAGATGATGCTTCTCGTCCTCATTATTGGTATGCAAGATGAGGGTCTGAGTGATAGACTCCAGCTGGAATCTCAATTGACTCTGGAGAAAGCAATTAATACCTTGCACCAACATGAGGAGCTAGAACGCCAAAAACGTGAACTTGCTAATACTAATGTTTTTTTGGTAAATAAAACGTCAGTTCAAAACGGTAAACCGAATCGGACAGAAGGAGTTTGTGACCAGAAATACATCGAGGATGCAGAAAATACAAAGAAGTGCAGGAAATGTGGTTATGATTGGCACGGATCACTGGCCGAATGTCCTGCTAGGAAAGCCAAATGTGACAAATGTTCCGAGATTGGAAATTTTTTTCGATGCAGTCCCTACCGCGAAAAGTGGATGAGAAAAAACAAAAACGTTGTTAAAGAAATCGAACAGCAAGTTTCAGACTGTGGAGATCTACAGGTTCCTGAGATTTTCATCGGGAATATAGAAAACAATGACAGAGCCTGGGCCCAGGAGGCAAAAGCAAGCTGTGGAAACCAAGTGTTAGGGCTTATAAAATTTAAACTTGACACAGCCGCTGATGTAACCATGATTCCAGTAGGAGTTCTTGGTGATTTTATTAAGACTCTGCCTCTAGGAAAGTGCAAATCCCCTGTGTACAGTGCAAAGAAGAAAGAACGAATCAATATTTTGGGAACTTTAAGGCTGAAGCTTGAACATAAGGGTGTATCAATTTATGATCATGCGTATATTTCTGAGGAGATCACTGTTCCACTTCTTAGCAGACGTTCCTGTGAAGAGCTGAACCTGGTGAAGAGGATCTTTTCTGTAGATTCATCAGATATTGACTGGGTTACTGAGTACCCTAATTTATTTCAAGGATTGGGAAATATGAAAGGAGAGTACAAGATAGAAATGAAGGAGAATGCAGTTCCTTATGCTATATCTACCCCCAGGGTTGTACCAATACCTTTAAAAAGCAAGGTGAAAGAGCAGTTAGAGAATATGCTTGAAAAAGGAGTGATTGTCCCAGTTGAACACGCGACTGATTGGTGCGCACCAATGGTAGTTTGTGCAAAAAAGAGAGGTGGGGTTACGATCTGCGTGGACCTATCCAAACTCAACAACAGTGTGAAACGTCGGTTTTATCCTATTCCAAAGATTGAACTTTCATTGTCCCAGATCGCGGGAGCCAAGTACTTCAGCAAGATTGATGCAAATTCCGGTTTCTGGCAACTGAACCTTGCAGAGGAGTCTCAAGATTACACAACATTTATCACCCCTTTCGGGAGGTATAAATTCTGTAAGGTACCTTTTGGAATTACATCTGCTCATGAAGAGTTTCAGCACCGTATGTCAAAAGCTTTAGAAGGGGCAAAGAACTGTTTAGTGCACATTGATGACTGTTTGATATGGGGAAGAACGAAAGAGGAACACGACGAGTGTCTTAGAGCCGTTCTAGAGAGAGTGCAAGCTAATGGAATCACTTTGAATAAGCAGAAGTCTGAGTTCTGCAAGAAGACTGTGACATTTTTGGGGTTTGTGCTGTCTAAGGAAGGAATCAAGCCTGATCCAAGCAAGGTACAAGCAGTTGTGGGCTTACCAGCCCCAAGTAATGCTAATGAAGTCCAGAGATTCATGGGCATGATCACTTTTCTGGCTAAATTTATTCCGAACTGCAGTGAAATTTTAGAGCCAATTACGAGCTTGTTAAAGACTAAAAACGATTTCTTTTGGGGACCAACTCAGGAAAAAGCTTTTGTCACAGTGAAACAGATTTTATCATCAGAGCCATGTTTAACTGTTTACGATCCGGAAAAGCCCTCGATTCTTTCTTGTGATGCTTCAAAAAAAGGTCTTGGAGTGGTTTTACTACAAGTTGAAGGAGAAAACAAGAAACCTGTGGCATATATATCTCGGACTCTAATGCCTGTTGAAGAAAACTACAGTTACATTGAGAGAGAAGCGCTTGCGTGCACTTGGGCAAGTGACCGTTTAAAATGTTTCCTGATGGGTAAAATGTACACAATTGAGGGCGACCACAAACCGCTTGTCTCAATTTTCAAAAAACAAAATTTGGACGAGCTCTCACCGAGGCTACAGCGATTCCGAATGCGTATGATGAGATACGATTATCGCATGACCTGGACCCCAAGAAAAGACCTTGCCATAGCAGATCTGCTATCGAGATGTCCTATTCCGGCTAATGAAGATGGCGAATTGACAGAAGAAGTGGAAGCCTTCGTCCATGAAATCAGTATGATTAGAATAAACACTACAGATGAAAATGTGACAAAAGTACTTCACTCACAAATGAGGGATCCAATATGTGCACAACTCAAGCTAAAAATTTTAGACGAATGGCCTGGAAAATCAAGTTTACCTAATGAGATTCAAGAATACTTTAACGTGAAAGACGAGTTAAGTTGTATTGATGGGTTATTGCTTCGAGGAACTCGGATGATAATACCTCAGGAACTACGAGCGGAAATGCTCGAGAGGCTTCACAGTGGACACTTGGGAATCACAAAAACAAGGAAACGTGCTTTGGAAACCATGTGGTGGCCTGGAATTTCTCAAGAAATAGAAAGAAAAAGCAAATCATGTCCAGTGTGTATTCAGAACTCAACTAATCACAGTGAACCATTGATTCCAGAACTTATGTTTGGAGGGAAAATAAGAGACAATCTTCCATCTACTTTGGTTGGAAATCCTGTGGAAAATAAAGACTTTTTTGAGAGGGAGAATAAGTACCAGTCGAAGTATAAGATGCAATTTGATAAACGACATGGAACGAGGGGTTTAAGTGAATTAGAAGAGGGAAGCATGGTATGGATCACAGATCTACGTAGACATGGTAAAGTAGTCAGGAAATTGAATGAACCTTGTTCCTACCTTGTGGACATTGACAAGAAAACCATTCGACGAAACCAGAAGTTCTTAGTTCCTGCACCATACTACGGAGAAGATTGCATTCTTTCAAACTGTTCATCTATGGTCCTTAATTGTCCATCTAACTCATGTGATCGTCCAGACGCTAGCACAGTTACCCGTTACGGAAGGTCCATCAAGATACCGAGGCGGTACCGAGCTTCATGAAGATGTAGACATCTTGAGGCGGGATGTTGTATTAAGTATGTTCTTTTAGTCATATGATTTATTTGTGTTTAAATATCTTTTGTTGACAGATGATTTTTGTAAACATGTTTTGGTAAACATTAGTTTAGTTGGAAATAGAGTTTGTTGAAACAAGATGTGTGTTTAATATTCTTGTATTAGAAATAGAACAAGTACACTTTATGTTCTTAAAACCGTTGGCACTAATATCTTCCGAGTATAGACTGGAGAAGCTTAAGGGTGGTCTTAACGTATTGTATCTGGTTTCAACGTAAAAATATTTTGCTATGCTTTTCAGAGGTCTTTTACTTATGGAAAACAATGTCAGACAGCTGAAGTCCACTTAATTGCAGGTTCCAATCTTATCCTTAAGGTCTTCTTTACATGTCGATGTCCCAGCAGCTTATGGCACCATTTATTGTTGCCACTTCCCGTAAAATTACGTCCTTAAGATGAATCACATTTTGGGGATTAAGCTCACCTGAGAATTCTTTTGAAATTGTATTTAAGATAGGAATGATATCATGGGGTCCAAATTCAAAGTAAACTCAAAAAGTTCTTCGCTTTTGATATAGACTTGCCATTTGCACATACGCATCATAGGCACATACATTTTTGTACCGTATTTTACTCTATGGCTTCTAAAATGGCATCATATACAACAGTGACACCCACTTTCCCCTAGCAACAATCAAAGTCATTCACATGTTAGCCATTTAAAAAAAATCTGGTTCCTGTCGGTCATCCTGTACAGTACTTGATTGTATGCAAGGACAGAGAACTCGTGTAGGATAATTGTAGGATGAATAATCCACTCAAGTACATATTTTGCATCCTAACATTATTATTACAGCTATAATTAATCGTAACGGTGATTTGAAGTATGGTACCATGATAAGGATGACTATGTTCAGGTATGTGAGAAGGATATCCTGGTAGTGGACGTGGTGAACCGTGCACCAGGGGCAGCAGTGTCAGTCCACTGGCGCGGCCAGGCCCAGCGAGAGACCCCGTACATGGACGGAGCCCCCATGGTGACCCAATGTCCCGTCAACACATTCACGACTTTCCAGTACAAGTTCAGGGCTACCAATCCTGGCACACATGTCTGGCAGGTACATACAGGTTGGTATCTATCTTTGTTGTTCTATCTTTGAGGGTTTGTTCAACACTGTCTATAAGGACAAGATAGTTGGAACATGAACTTAAGACGTGTTAGCAAATAAACACATTATAAATTGTAAATAACTGAACAGTGACAATTGGTGGAGGAATTTTGTTAGGTAATCATATTGGGAACAGAGTTTATTTTGTATGTCTCTCAACACATCTAGCGACGCCTCAAAAATTTATTTTGTGACATCAATAAGGATTTTATTTTTGTATAAAAAATTCAAGAATATATAGGGTCATTATATTTTTAATTGTATGGGAGGTTTAATTTTTAGTAAACAAAAACAAAAAAAAAACTAAGCAATAGTACAATTTATTTTGAGAGTCACACAGGGTAAATTAAACTTTCTAAATCACTAAATCAGATCACTTAATGTTCATTCATGTCTTTATATTAATGTACAGACAAAACTCCAATTTTATTTATATAGATAAGTTAAATAAACAAATATTCCAAATATAATTAATTTCTATGCATTGGGTTTTCTTTCCTTACAGGTAACCCAGAGCTGGACAGCTTATTTGGAGCCCTGATAGTCCGTCAGTCACCTAAGAAAGAACCTCATCATGACCTTTATGACGAAGATGATCATTTTGTTCTTATTAGCACGTCTCCTTCTATTGATAACTTGGGCTCTGGAGCCCTTCTTATCAATGGAAAACCTTTTAGCCAGGTTAGTGATTGAATTTTTTGTCCAATTTATAAATCAATAATTTTAATAATTGGTCTTATATACCTAATCAAATTGTGCATATTTAAGATGAGTGTAGGGAGTGAGATGCCTTTGGCCCCCCTGTTACTGACAGACCGGTTGATGTTATTTCCAGATACATTTATTAATTAATAGCTAAGTTTTCAAGTGGTTAAAGAACCCTCCTTGCAATCCAAAAGTTGTTAGTTTAAACCTGAGAAAAGCATACAGTATTTTGATGGTTCCAAATTGTACCCAGATAAGCCCACTTAAGTAATAAAGCAGAGAATATTGGCTCTTTTCTGTTTCTCAGACATCCAATGCTTCCCACGTATTGAATAGGAAAACCTAATCTATGACTTGGAGGTATCTTCTCAGGTTTCTGTACAGTATACCCTCAATTTGTTTGGGTTTTAAATCGATCTGGACCATTTAGGGATTTTGTATACATTTAGACTTTATTACCTACAAATTCTGCATGGCAATTCCATCTATTTATGAGTCATACACAGTTTATCTAACATGAAAATTTGTACATGATATAAATGCATATTTCAACCAGAAAACGTTTTCAAAATATAAGACAACTGTGTGTTTTCTGTATCACCAGGAGGGCGAGGCTCAGTTGAATGTGACGTCATACAAGAGACACAGACTACGGCTGATGTATGCTGTAGCATCTATTAGTTGTCCTGTAACTGTGGCAATAGACAGACACTCACTGTTGGTCATAGCACTGGACGGTCACCCCATCAGACCTGTGGAGGCTCTCAGTGTAGTCATGGCTCCTGGTGAGTGTGAGGCAAACTAACAATCAATTGCAAGAGGTTTTTGATGAAATTTACTCCATTGGTTACTCTGTCTTTTAGCGAATTTCCCTATTTGACACTAGAATAGATAGGTTTTATATTTCCTCAACTCTAAAAAATCTTTTGCGAGCTGCGACTTTTATTACCAAAGTTTACAGGAGCAAGCGGTGAAATAATTTCTTTAATTAATGATTGCAAGCCTGAAACCTCTCTATGAATATTGTTGGAAATATCGTCTAAAATAACAAGTCGTCTTGTGGATCAAAAATTAAGTTAATAATAGTAAAACTGATAGAATGAAAAACTTAGATTTGTGTATACATCTTACTTCATCAAAATATAACAAACAACTAAACTCTGTTGCCAAGGAAACATCATATGTTCTTTTCTAACATAACTATTATGGACATTATAATATGAATAAATTACATCTTTAACACACCCCCGTAATGTCCATAATACATTTTAGAAAAATAAGTTTTAGTTAAGAGGTCACCATCCCAATGAAAGTTTTCATTTTAACATGTTTCAATGATGATAAGCCCTTTGTTAAAATATCAGCGGTTTGTTCTTCTGTTGGAATGTATCTGACAGTGATCTGTTTCCCAGAGACCAACTGTCGAACATAATGGTATCTCGTCTCAATATGTTTAGAGCGATCGTGGAACATTGGATTGTTCATAAGTTTAATCACACTTTGATTGTCCACATGTAGTATAGGAATAGACTTTTCTTCAATTGCGCCAATCTCTTTCACAAGACGAAGGGATTTACAGGTCTCGCTAGCGGCAACATATTCTGCTTCCATTGAAGATTGGGAAACACACCGTTGAAGCTTACTCTTCCAAATAGTCTCATCAAGATTGCCATTCAAAAATGCTGTTTTAACATCAAACTGTTTGATAGCAAGATTATACTGAACTGAATAGCCTAACATAGTTCGCATCGTCTTAAACCGAGCTACAGGGCTGAAAGTGTCACCATAATCAATACCAGGATGCTGAGTAAATCCTTTTGCGACCAAACGCGCCTTGTAACGAATGATCTCGTTCTCAGAATTTGTTTTCAGTGCAAATACCCAGCGATAATCGATGACTTTTCTTCCTTTTGGTTGATCAACCAAATCATAAGTTTGATTTTTTATTAATGAATTTATTTCTTCATCCATAGCGGATTTCCAATCGACGACATGCTCAGATCTAATTGCTTCATCATAATTTTCCGGTACTTCGTTTGTAAGTATTGCAGAAGCTAAAAGCTCATTTTTATCTCTGTCACTGACACACATGACAGAATCATCTCTATATCTCATAGGTATTTTTATTCCATCACGTTTTCTCAGGTTATAAGTCTCCTCTTGTAATATATCACCTGGAATAGCGTTATCATCACTAGGACACAACATGTCTTGCTCATCAGTATCATTGGTTCCTGGATACACAATATCTTGCTCATCTTCATGGAATATATTGTCCTGATTACTGTCAACAAGCTGATTTCTGGTCTCATCATTTAGAATTGATTGCCTACTGTCAAGGGGATCATGCTCGATATCATTGCTACTCTCTTCAATGTTAAAGTAGTGTTTATCATCGTTATTGTTTATTTTCTTCAAAATAAAACATGATTCTTTTGGTGGAATGACCTTAACAACCATATTATACAATTGATTAGCTGTATTAAATATAGCCAAAGCAATGATTGTTCCATTTTGAGAAAACACCCATGACTTACCATTGTTTTTCACAGTCTGGTGAATGCCTTTTTCACCTGCTTTCCTCACAGAGAATAAGTTACAAGCAACATCAGGACAGTACCAAACATCATCGAAATACCTGTAAGTCCACTGTTTACCATCAAAAACCATAACGTCTATTTTTCCTGACCCCAAGACCTGAATATGAACACCTTGGCGAGCACTGTCCATCTTTTTAGGAGTATCAAATGGTTTGTAAGTGGCGAACCAGTCCCTGCGGTTTGTCACATGGTGAGAAGCACCACTGTCAACAAGCCAGTTGTCACATTCACTGAAAAATGACTTATCAATTAGGCCTACCTCTAGATTTGATCGAGTCATCATTGCAGCATTTTGTATCTCACGGGGGGTACATTCATTTGATTTATGTCCTTTTGTGTGACACTTAAAACAAATTACACCTGTTCTACAGTTTTTAGATAGATGACCATTTTTGCCACATGAAAAACATTTTATCGCTCCTAATTTTTGCAAGTCTCCCTTTTTGGCATTTTTGGCTCCCATATATTTTGGCTGTTTAGAACTTACTTTTATTTTGGAAACCATGGCTACTGCTACATCCATCTCGTCTCTGTCCTTTAGACGTAATTCAAAGTTGAGACATTTCTTCTGTAGAATGTCCCATGTCTTCACCTCCCTTGGTGAGTCGTGCCAAGTCACATATATGTGATCATATTCCTTTGGTAGAGTTTGAAGGAGTCGAGCACACAAATCGTCTTCATTAATAGGCTTACCGTATATTGTTAATTGGTTTTGGATTTCGTCAAACTTTTCCAGATGACCATTCATTCCAAGGGTAGGTTCCCAAGAAATGTTATGGAACTTATTTCTCAATATGTCAATATTTTCAGTTGACTTGACATCATAAATGTGGACAAGTTTCTCCCACATCTCTTTTCCTGTAGAGCAATTGCTTACTCTAAGTAGAGGATTCGTCTCAAGGGATAAAACAATATATTTTCTGGCTTTTGCATCATTTTTTGACCAATTTACCAATTTTTCGTCATAATTTGGTGTACCTGCTGTTGGTTTTCCGAATTCTCCACTAACAATTCCATAAACTCCTTCACATTCTAAGATTACCTTCATGACTATTTTCCATGTTGTGAAATTCTCAGTCCCTCTTAATTTTTCAATCTGTTTTTCATTACTCATCATTCACTATTCTATTAACTTCTTCTCAATTAATTTAACCACGCTCTGCTACCATGTTGGAAATATCGTCTAAAATAACAAGTCGTCTTGTGGATCAAAAATTAAGTTAATAATAGTAAAACTGATAGAATGAAAAACTTAGATTTGTGTATACATCTTACTTCATCAAAATATAACAAACAACTAAACTCTGTTGCCAAGGAAACATCATATGTTCTTTTCTAACATAAATATTATGGACATTATAATATGAATAAATTACATCTTTAACAAATATAAGTTTTCAAGTAAAACTCAATATTGCTTTGTTCTGATATTTTATTTACCCAATTTCTAATTTAATTGTATTCATGGACTCACCAGGAGAGAGAGTAGATGCTGTACTAACAGCTGATCAAGACCTTGGTGACTATCAGCTGAAGGTGACCACAACAGCTGAATGTACCACCAAGCTGCAAGGATCAGCCCTAGTCAGCTACCAAACTCACCAGAGCGCTCAGTCACCTCTCACAAGGCTCCCCCAACACCAACCTAACCTGGTCAAGGTAGGTCCCAAATACCACCAGTGTTTACTATTATAACTAACTAATAGATGTAGGACATAAACACTGTCATTAATTTCAGTAATCATTAGCATTAATCAACAAAACACATAAGAATAAGGTGAATGAAATTGTGATTTTCAAGTACATTTACCGTACATCAGCATCAGTTCTAAAATAATATTTTTAATTTAACAAACCCAGCCTGATTAAAATAAGTTTTTATTTTAAGTTTATACATTATTGCAACAAATAGTAAATGCCTAATATCTTATTCAACGTAAGAAAATTATTTCTTCTTTTAGAGGGTACATATTTTCATGACTGAGCTATTGTTAAAAATTTATTATCATTGTTAGAACTATGTTTAAACTCCAACTAGTCCAGGCTCCAGCTTCATTCTGAACACAGGCTGGATGCTGTATTTCAAGGAATTAATAACTCATATTGATTCTACTACCATATATATTTTTTATTCACAATGTTTTATAAATATTTATAAATTAGTACAATATGGAGGCTGGTACACGAGGCGAAGAATAAACTGAGATTTGTGGAGCCACGACAGTAAGTAAGTAAGTAAGTACAATATGGAAGTACATAGTTATGGATAAAGTTCAAGAACAATAATACTATTTTTATACCTGTAAATATGTAAAGTACCTACAATAATGGTCTTTGTTAAGTTGATAACTTGTATCTTCTCTTTCAACAGGGTCTGAGCACAGTAGGGAATGGAGACTGCAGCACAAGTGATTCTCAGTTCTTGTGTCTCTCCAAGATACAATCCCTGACTAAACTCCCCCCAGAACTCACCCCCGAGAGATTACCCTTCACGCTCTTCTTGCCCTTCGACTTTGTCAAGCCTCCTCCCCAGTACAGTGTCTTTGATGGTATGTCTAATGGAAAAAAACACCAAGCTATAGAAATAAGTTCCTAATTTACCTCTGACACTTCTACTTTTAATGAATGAAAATCGTCCAAATTTACTTTACGAGACAACATTTGGCATTAAATTTAACTCTGTTCTAAAAGAGTGAATAATGGATAATTCTTTCTGTTGCAAACATTTGCAAAAATTTGCAAAACAGACAAATAACATTTTAGGTAAGATTATGTTTTGAAACATAGAACAACATGGAGTAACCAATCTTATACTTGCAGACTCTCTGAGACTGCCTCGCCTCAACAATCTCACTCTCACCTTCCCTTCATCGCCTCTGCTGAGTCATGCAGCAGACCTGGAGGTTTGCAACTCCAATGTCCGTCCGTCGCCTTGTGAGGAACAAGCCATGTGTCAATGTGTCCATGTTGTAGAAGTGCCTTTACACACTCCTGTCGAACTGATGCTCATTGACCAAGGTACAATTAATTTGACATTATTGTTTCTTATCTGTTTATAGTATATCAGAATATATTTTAGTAAATCAGAAAAATATATTGATCTATCACTGTCCAGCAGAATTTACACACTTTTTATGGTGTTGGACTAATTTAAAACAAATTAGGTATTTGAATCATTTTGTGTACAACAGTTACTTTACTGCAGAAAAAGTTTCCATCAAACAGTTTTACCATCCAAAAATGGCATGTATACAACAAATTAAAACTTGTATATATTAGACTGATGTTAAAACTAAGTTAATTTCAAATTATGTTTAAATACTTTAAATTACAATTAAAAACAAAATATACAAACATTAAAGAGTGTGCAACATTGTGAAAATGTATTATATCCGTTTGTTTTGCCCCATATTTCAGTAGCACTGTTTTGAAGCTATAGTTCTGAAAGTGCCAGATTTAGGGTACTTGCTGCCCCAGGTTAAATGACCTGAAGCGGTCCCCGCCCCGAAGGTGGAAATTCTCCTCGATTGTGGCAAAATTGTCAAAATTTCCCACAATCAAGGGACCATCATTACTGTCACCAGTAAACACAGAGAAATTGTTAATACCTTCTCTGAATCAATGGACCATTATCATTATTGTCACTTGCAACCACGGCAATAGTCACGAAGAAAATCTCCTATGGGTTCATTATAGTCACCCTCGATCATGGAGAAATCGTGAACATTTTCCCTAAATCAAGGGAACAACTTAATTTATAGCCACGACCACGAATAATGAGTCACTGAGTCATCATTATTGACACCCGCAACCGCAACAAATTAATAGTAAAAAAACAAAAAATCAAATTTTTTCTGAAAAATTTGTTTTTGTAGAATACACTGCACTCCCCTTTGGCATGATTGGCGTAGTGGTAAATCCACCACTGATTACTGACCATATATTCAGTTTTATGATAGAAGCAAAATTACAGATATTGCTTTTCATGTAAAATCATATTAAAATATTTTCAAATTAGACATGTGTAACACATTCTTAAATTTAAGGTTGGTTACATTTCTAAATCAACAAATTAATGTCCGTGTAGCTGAACAGATTACTAGTGCTCGCCCATTAAATAGAATGGTACTGGTTTGTACCCTGAGAAATGTCCAGTTTTGTCCAGATCCAAAGTAAATACAGTAACTAGTTGATCTGTCAGTAACAAAGCTTTATCTCATTCATCAAACACTTTGTGCATGATCGTTTAGCCATCTTTGTTTTAAAAACCTATAATAAGAATTATAGACCACTGAACCATGTGTGTTCAGGTGGTGAAGGATCCCACACATTCCACCTGCACGGCCACAGTTTCCATGTGGTGGGGGTGGCGGGGAGGGGGGAAGGAGTGCGGCGTGGTGCAGAGTATGGTAGACTGCCGCGTCAACTACACAATCCTGTGGTTAAAGACACAGTCACTGTCCCTGCTGGGGGTGCTGTGGCCCTGCGGTTTATGGCTGACAACCCTGGTAAGTTTTTATCCATTATTATTTTAATTTTATTTGCTAAATGGTAGCACTAAATTATATCTCTATTAAGTATCCATTTTACCTCAGAGTAAGAGGTAATATTACACCAAAACCCTATAGTGAATTCAATTTTTTCATTTTACTTCGTAGTGTATGCCCCACAAAGATTGTATGTTTTTTCTACTCTATATTTCTAAAACGCATCCTTACTAGGGGGTTTCTTTTCTCCCTTACCTGGTAGTTAACTTATTAGGTGGAATCACAAAAGTGTGAGAACTCGCAGAACATAAATATATTTAAGAATTAAATACTTTGAACTGTACATCACCTACACTTATGATTTTCTTACAATATATCTCATTCTTATAAATTATTATCAACTGTAAATTTTAGGATTCGAGTTTGGTACTAATAATTGTGTTATTAAGTTTATGCACATACAGTTTACAACTGATATTCTGAGTACATGTTGCAATATTACATATACATGTTCTCTGTTCCGCCCAGGTTACTGGTTGCTGCATGATGAGAGGTGGCAAGGGTTGGGGGTGATATTCCGTGTAGGCTCCACATCCGACACACCACCTCTGCCTGACAACTTCCCTACATGTGGCGACTTTGTAGGGCCAGAGTTCTTCCTAATTTAAAATAATCCTTCAGGAGAAAGTGCATTGCTTTACTAGGATTTGTAGCCCAGTAGAGTTCCAACAATCAGAAAACGTGCCTGAAACTCTAAGGTGCTGTAGATTTCTGAAACTGGAAATACTGTGTTAAGAGAACCACTGTGACAGATAAGCTAGGTACACATGGGAGCATTGCACCGCACACTGTAACGCGCTTCAGATAAGCCTTTAAAACCCATGACAGCATTGCATTGCTCGTTGGATCAATAATTGTCTCATGGCATGTCCCGGTACAGCCATAAAAGTTGAAGAGGCCATTTCTGTTTGAGCCTTGTACCATAGATATAAAAACGAAAACAAACTCAAAGTACCCCCATTGCAGCTCTTTGCCCCCATTCCACTCTTTACCCTAATCTATGAAAATATTAACTTGTTTTTGTAATTACCTGAGAATACTATCTTCTACATATTTAACAAAAGTTCAGGTCTGTCTAGCACCTAGTGAGAACATTGTTAGGGATTAAATTTCAACGATAAGAACCTCATAGTTACCATGAGGTAAGTTTATTGTAAATTGAAGTAAACACACAGCAAACATACTTAAAATCTACTCCCTCCTACTCCAAAACCAAAACGCACATTCCAACGCTCACATGTGTACAGTCCCATTAAAACCATTGTAGCTCAAGACAAAGCTTCTGCTAGCACGCGTTGCACAAAGAACTAGTGATGGTCAAAACCAGAAATTTTGAATCTCAAAACCAAAACCGAAACTTAAAAAATCAAATCCCGAGTCTCGAATCTCAAAACCTGAACGTGAAATTTTTAGGTACCGTAACTGGTCAAGTTGTTAAAAATACAGGTACTGTAATGATAACATTTTCATTATGATTATGCGATCAAAACTGAAAGAGATTGACTCCTGATCCAGACATAATAACTATAATAACATAAATGTGACGGATAAACTTCAAACCTAAAATAACATACTTTTTTATGAAACAACTACGTTAACATTAAAATAAATGAAACTCTTAACATTGAAATAAACATGAATATTACATTAATTAGAACATTTAGTGGCCAATATTTCTTTGTGTTTAAAAAATGTTGAATATTGATATAAAACTGAATTGTAAGCTGTTCCAGTATTTAACCCTTCCCGGACGGGCGAAATCGTGACATAGAATGGGAAAAAATTATAGGAAAAAATTAAAATTAATTTTCCTTATTTGTGTTTTGTTGTGCAAGTATACATAAAATAAACACAATGGAACACTTAATACTGTCAAAATAAATTTTTACTCGTTTTTAACGATGCGGATATATCCGCTACCCGTCTTTGAAGACATGACCATGACAACGTTAGGCAATAAACAAAACCCCTAACCCCCCACCCCCTGGATACGCCACGGTGTACCAGCATATACTTTCAAAAGTATAACTCACAGTAAGTGTTTTCCTAAACTCAGGATATAAAACTGAATTATGAGCATTTGATGAGTTTTAGATGTAAAATGTACATTCCGACTTTCAGTTTTATTCCCATGTTTAAGTTAAATCGAGCCACTGAGTCCACTGGTGTAAATGAAAGATTTTGTTCAAACACACCAACTTTTTAACCAAGCCAAACTGATAGAACAGCTTATTGTAAGCTATGACATCTTTTGTGTTGTATTAACCTATCATTAGCAATTGAGGAGGAAACCAGAACTTTGACGGTAGAGTAATCACAATCAATGTGTGTCTCCTTCAACTACCTATGTTATATAAAAAAAATAAATAAATAAATAAAAAAATAAAAAATAAAAAAACGGCTACAGCTGGTCTAGGCCTATATAGACACAATATAGTATATAGCCTATATAGTACAATTAATTGCATGATTACTGAATTGGAAACAAGCATAAGTGACCTTATTGCCAATTTAAAATTTCCTTACTGAACATTTAGGGCTTTCATGGAGATCTGTTTGTGATGTGGCCCTTCACAGAATGGAGCAAGGTGAGGTAGTGAGAAGCTCAAATAATAAAGACGGAAGACGTAACTATAGTCGTTTACTTGTCGGGTTGTAAATATTATGTCTCAATTGATGGTTAATGTTGCAAAGAATCCATGATATTTTTTAGGATAATTCATAGTATATTGAAGCAAAACTAAAAATGCAAAAAGCACCAAATTGTTCAAAATACATGACAATAAAGCTAGTCTTTTAATTTGACCTTTTGGATTGTAACCTTTTGGAAACATACTCCTACGGTAATACCAGGCCCGCAGTTTGCATGTGACGAGCTATGGGCCCGAGAGATATTTGTGCCTGCCCCCCTCCACCCTCCACAGAGAATTGTTCTCTTCCTTGCATCCCCAATAAACCTAAAACCTATTTTGCCTTTACAGAGGTTCTGAAACTTTTAAAGTTACAAAATGCAACAATTTGTACAGGGATAAAACGTTTAATGTGTTTTGCAAATAGAAGCAATAATAAAAATGATCAAATTTAAAAGCTTTACATCCAAACAATTGTATTTTTACCTCTGAAACATTTCAGTTTATAAATAAGGTGAAGAAAAAAAAGTTCAGATTGAAAGTTCAAATTCATTTTGTAATTTAATAGGCAAAGTTTGACAAGACGTAGAATCTCAATAACTAGTTGTAAGTATTATTTAATGTAAATAATTTTAAAATTGAATAAGTCAATCTGTGATTATATATATATAGGCATTGTCTCAACTTTGTGTTATTGTAGTTTTATAAATAATTACTAAACTACTGTGTAAATAAAATTAAAATTATTTTCTACAAGTATGCCTTTTCTTTAACCTCATTTCTGATGTCACAATGCCTAAATGCTTGTCACAGGATAAGTTCTAAATCTACCAGTTCACTTCAGACAAGTAATTTTGTTTCTCATTTTCAATTTAGTTTGAATTTTTCTATATGGTTAATGGAGAAAACAAAGAAACGTCCATCTTAAAACAAGTAATGCAAGTATTAATCTTGAGGGATAAAATCACACACAAAAAAAACTACCTTTTTAAAATGTTATTTAATTCATAATCAAAAAGATACAAATTAATTTTGACCTGTCAGGACATCCTCATTACAGCTTTTTACAAAAGTTACGATATTAATAAAAAATAAAGGCAACCAGTCATAACTAGGATGATCCTAAGGGGGGGGGGTTACACCGAGGGGTCAGGGAGCCCTCCCCCGGGTACACTTGAAAATTAGACCTGCAAACTTGCGTTTTTAGAATGAAAGAGTATGAAAGAGATTTTTTAGTTGCAGAAACAAAATTTTTATTGTAAATAAATCACGTTTAAGGGGGGGGGGGGGTTCAACCCCTAAACCCCCCCCCCTGGTTATGGGACTGACCAAATATACATTTTGTAATGTCAATTACTACATTATTTCATTCATATGTCATTATAGATGATTTTCATTTACCTTTTATAAAATGTTATGTGCAGTTTAGGGATTAAAAATATGTGCGAAAGAACCAAGCATATTGGCTGCATTTATGCGAGTACCTAACTGCCACAATGTATTTCAAGTTACCTGAGGTATTTAACCTGGCCACCTACGCATCATGTAAATGCGGCTATATATCACCAAACAGTCAAAGCACAACTGTTTTCTAACAAATTCAACTAAGAATATGTATAATATTGTGTTTATACTGTACTAAGTTCGGATGTTAAACGGTAATACAAAAATACTATATTTCCCTGAGACAAAGACTTAATTATAAGTAAAATTTAAAAGTAATAGAAACATGTTTTGGTAACTCTAATAGTTTGTACATTAGGCAATGTGAAAGCACTTTGTCATATGAAGTGTTACAATGGGTCCTCACTCTTGCGAAGCATTGATGAGAACAGTCCCATCTTGTGGTTCAGTAGCTCTGCAGGACTAGCATCCTCCACAACTCTGCCTCGGTCCAACACCAGCACCCGGTCACATCCCAGCAGACCTGATACTCGATGCTGCAAACATATAAACTGTTATACACAGTTCGGAGGCAGATAAGCTTAAAAAGGGAGGGGCAACTATTTCATTTGTGGAGCCAGAATCACGCTGGGCTCTGCAAAAGGAAGCTTAAGCAAGAAGAAAGATAAAAAGATCAACAATTTTGGGAACTCTATGAGGATTTAGGCAAGCTAATGTCCCTTTTTATTGTGGTTTCAAAACCAGGAGATCTGTGACTCAATAAATCAGACTGAATTATTAGACTAAATAAAACTTTATAAAGATTACTAACAGGATTTCTAACTGGACATTGCATACATAATAAGTGGACTCCACAAGAAAATCGGTGGACCTACAACACAAGAGTATGAATGGTGATTCTACCAATCAGAAGATGGAAACCCAAAACCATCAGTTGGCATTACGAGGCATTCAGAGATCCAAGAGTCTGGCTGTATCAGGTAACAATTGGAGATATTCCCCTGTGAGATAGTGGATTTTGGCAAGGTTTTAGGGCAGGTGTGGGTGCTCTAGGCTCTTGGTAGGACTGGAGACAAATTTGGGAGGCGCGATAAATCTTTTAGGCCACAGTGAATTATTTCCCCATAAACTTAGTATCAATATTGAATATGCATAGTAAATGAAGAAACTTAAAAGTTACCGCTATTGTGATGACTGTGCGGTCGGCGAAGGCTTGTGTTGCAACTTGTAGCAGCCTAGCCTCAGTCACAGGGTCCAGACAGCTGGTAGCCTCGTCCATGACCAGTAGTGCTGCTCGATGCAGCACAGCTCGTGCCAGACACATCAGCTGACGTTGACCACAGCTTAGGTTGCTACCTCCCTCTCTCACTGGCCCATCTGTCGCATCAACAAGGTTTGTTATAAATGTTAAATTATATTACCATTTAAAACTGTAGTCCAATTATAAATATTCTAATGTTTACATTTGGCATAAACTAGAATTTTAATTGTAAAGTCTAATAAGCCGTTAGGTTATCAGACCAAGCAATTAGTTAATGTTTATTTTGTTTAAGTTGAAAAATATCATCATGTTATTAAATTATTTTGTTTTGCTACTAACCAAGTCCTCCGAGATCATTAGCGACAACATCTTTCATCTGTGCTACTTCCAGACTCTGCCAGAGTTCAGCGTCCGTGAACTGACCTTTCAGATCTAGGTTCTGTCTGAAAAAAAAAACAAACACTTCATCCAAAGACCTTATATTTCAGTTGAACTACGGAGAAGAGTATTTAATTCGCTACATGACCTCAGCCACCCAGAAATTAAAGCTACTGCAAAACTTGTACCAGTAGCAGATCGATTTGTCTGGCAAAGTATGCAAAAAGATTGTCGCAATTGGGCTCGTACTTGTGAGCGATGCGAGGTAACGCGACATGTTCATACTCCACTAGGAACATTATACTCTTTGCCATCATCACGTTTTGAGCACACCCATGTTGACATCATTGGGCCTTAACCACCAGCAGGACCATGCAAATAATGTCTTACAGTCATAGACTGTTACACTATAGGTGGCCTGAGGTTCATCCTTTAAAGAGCATTACTGCAGAAGAAGTCGCCAAAGGTCTAGTCTCATGCTGGTTTTCTCGTTATGGCACTCCTTCAAGAATAACTACTGATCAAGGCCGCCAATTTAAATCATCCCTCTTCAAGTCCCTTGGAACAACTTTCGGCTCTGAAAGAATCACGACTTGCAGTTACCATCCCTGTGCCAATGGTGGAGAGATTCCATCGTCATCTTAAGATGTGTCATCACGATTCATCCTGGCTGGAAACTCTTCCGATTGTTCTTTTAGGTATAAGAAGTGCGTACCGTGAGGATCTTCAAGCATTAACGGTGTAGCGTAATCAAAAGGTTATTGTAGAAATAATAAAGTGGACTGTATATGGGTTATTAATTTAATTTTGACAACAGAAAATAATGGACTTTTGGTATAATTTTTAATTCTGAACTATAGTTATGTTACCACTTCATGACGTTAAGGTCTTGAAAGAAGATCTGGTCGAATGTTGGCTCTAGTTGAGAAGATAATATGTTTCATTAATGTCCAAATGTTCTCACAGTAGGTACACAGAATTTAGAGTGAAATTAAAAAGGGTTTATTTAATGAACACAAAAGGAAAAGGTAAATGAAATAAGTCAAAATAAAAGGAGAGAGAAATGAATTATGTTACACAAAGAAACGATATTACAAGAGAGAAAAGTTGCACTTCTTGAACCAGAATGTTTTTCTTGGAATGTTTACATTTTTTAAATTTTATTATTGTATTGTTGTTGACATGTGGGGATTATTTTAATATGCTCATATGGTCAGCTGGCCTTTACTGAACATACCGGCCTCCATAAAACGATAGTTTTATAACAATGAACACCAAATTGTGTAAAAAACGGAGCACTGAAGAATATTCTGAATATTATTTACAGCTATTTACAGGTCCTTCCAAGTTGTATGGCTTAGTTTTGAGGGAGAGGGAACACTTTAACAACTGGTCTAGTAAGGTAACCATGTTGAGTCTTCAGATCAACAACCCTGACTTGTCCATCTGTGCCAGGATGCAACTGTGTGACACGGGCAAGGGGCCAGGACAAAGGAGGCGATGAGGAGTGGATCAAGACTAGATCTCCAACTTTTATGTTTTCTGTCTTATGAGTCCACTTGGATCGTTGCTGGAGTGTATGAAGGTACTCTAGTTGCCAGCGCTTCCAAATCCTTTGGTGGAGAGCTTGTACTAGATGCCATCTTTTGAGCCGAGTTAGTGGAATATCAGTATGGTCTTCTTCTGGAATTGATGCCAGCGGAGATCCTATGAGGAAATGTCCTGGAGTGAGTGCTGAACAGTCATTAGGGTCGTTAGATAATGGTGTCAAAGGACGGGAATTGAGGATTGCCTCTATTTGTGTAGTCAGAGTCATGAATTCTAGGAGAGTAAGAATGTGTTCACCCATGACACGGCGCAGATGGTATTTGACACTTTTCACTGCTGCTTCCCACAGACCACCTTGATGGGGCGAAGCAGGAGGATTGAAGTGGAAATTTATTTTCCTGGATGAAGTGAAATGCAACAGGTGTTCTTCAGATTCTTTGGTGCTCAGGGTGTTTTTGATTGTTCGACGCAGTGCAGAATCAGCGCCTACGAAGTTCGTGCCACAGTCGGAATAGATATCTTTACAGAATCCTCTTCGGGAGATGAATCGTGTGAGTGCAGCGATGAATCCCTCAGTTGTTAAATCTTCTACAACTTCTAAGTGCACTGCCTTTGTCACAAAACAAACAAAAACACAGATGTAGGTTTTGATATGACGCATTCCGCGGAGCTTGACAACTTTCATGTCAAAAGGGCCACAATAGTCAACGCCACTGGTAGTGAATGGTCGAGCTGGAGTTACTCTTGCGGTAGGAAGATCTCCCATGAGTGGAGTGATGTTCTTTGGTTTCACTTTGAAACATTTTACACATTTATGAATACGTGTCCGTATGACTTGACGAGCCGAAAGAATCCAATAGTTTTGGCAAAGGATTGCTTGGGTCAGTTGTGGTCCGGAATGTAAGTGAGTAGTGTGGACAAAGTCTATGAGAAGATCAACGATATGGTGCTTCTTTGGAAGTACTATTGGGTGTTTGACGTTGAATTTCAGCGATAGCTTCTTAAGCCGGCCTCCCACACGAATTATGCCGGAAGCATCCAGAAAAGGGTCTAAACGTTGAAGATTAGAGGTACTGGGTTTGTTTTTGTGAAGTAGAGTCAATTCATTCGTAAAACATGTAGCTTGTACACACTTGATGATGGTACGCTCTGAGTTCTTAAGTTCAGAGACAGTGAGATGCCCATGTCTTCGGTCAGAGCTACGTGCATTGTGGATAAACCGCAAGACATAGCTTGTTACTCTAAGTAGTTTGGACCACGATGAGTACTTGGAGAGAAGATCCCATTCTGGAGGTTGGGTTGCAACCAGGACATTTAGAGGAGTAGTTTTACATTCTTGAGTGTCTTGCAAGTTTATGGGAACGAAGCGATTAGATGGCCAATGATCATCTGAAAGAATTAACCATGGAGGGCCATTCCACCATAGAGGATGATCAATGAGTTGAGCGGGAAGCAAACCACGTGACGCACAATCAGCGGGGTTGTCTGTTGAGGGAACGTAGCGCCAGGAGTGAGAGGGGATCAATTCTTGGACTTGAGCAACTCTGTTGGCAACATACGTTTTAAGTCGATATGAGGGGGTGTGTAACCAAGTGAGGGTTACTGATGAATCACACCACAATGTAGTTTGAGAGAGGTCAATCTTTTCTTTGAAAATTGTACAACAGTATATAAGTTGTGAGTTTTGCAAGTAAGTGTGCACCACATAGTTCCAAGCGGGGTAGAGTAACACGTTTCAAAGGAGCTACACGTGTTTTTGCGAGAATCTGACGAGTGATGATTTCTCCAGTTGAAAACTCACAGCGGAAGTATAAGACTGCTGAGTATCCTACTTCGGAGGCATCTGAAAATCCATGGAGTTGTAAGGAACATGTGGTAGTGAAATGAAACGAGCGAGGGATCTTAATCTGCGAAAGTAGAGAGGTTTCGTCAACAAAAATATGCCATTTTTCGGCAAGTTCATTTGGAAGAGTGTCATCCCATTGGATACCCTGTGACCAGAGTATTTGCATGAGGGTTTTTGCCCACATGGTCACGGGTGACAAAAATCCGGTAGGGTCGAAAATGCGTGCTATAATGCTCAGCACTGATCGTTTTGTAGGAGGACCATCAGGGAGACTTAAGTTGTAAGTGAAACAATCTGAAATGGGTGACCAATGTAGTCCAAGAATGGCAAAATGAGGGTGATTAGTGGCTTCCAAAAAGACTGGTGTTTCTAGATGATCTTGAGGCAAATCTTGGAGTATTTCTGGGCAATTGGATGTCCATTTTCTTAGCTCAAAACCACCACGTGCAAGAAGTTCAATCAGCTGATCTCGTAGTTGCTTAGCTTCGTTGAGTGTATGAGCTCCACAGATGATGTCATCCACATACGTATTATCCCGTAAAACTTTGGCTGCTGCTGGGAACGACCCTCCTTCGTCGTCAGCAAGTTGATGTAACGTTCTGATGGCATGGAAAGGTGAACTGCTAAGACCATATGTAACTGTCGTTAATTTGTATGTGGAGATTTCTTGAGTCTTTGGATCACGCCATAGAATTAACTGATACTTCTGGTGGTCAGGATGAACTTGAATGCAACGATACATTTTCCTTATATCGCAACTGAACACATAATTATGTGAACGAAAATTCAACAAAATGTCACAAATGTCAATTTGAAGTTTGCGACCGGTTAAAAGAATATCATTTAGTGCGACACCGGTACTGGTTTTGCAACTACCATCAAAAACTGTACGAAGTTTGGTTGTACTACTGGTTTCCTTCAGTACACCGTGATGAGGCAGATAGTAGTGTGGTTGCGAAAGATCGGAAGGGGATGCTTTGACCATGTGTCCGAGATTTTCATATTCAGTCATAAACTGTGTATACAATTCCTTGAAATTAGAGTTGGATTCAAACTTTCGTTCAATTGAGTGAAGTCTATGTTCAGCAGCAGATTTTGAAGTGCCCAGAGGTTGATGTTGGTCCTTGAAAGGGAGTTGAACAACATATGTTCCATCTGGAGAGCGGGAGTGAGTTGATTTGAAGTGATCTTCAGCGATGCGATCGTCTTCAGAGATAAGATTGCACTGCGGTACCTCTTCTTGTTGCCAAAAGCGAAGTAGAGTATTATGTAGCTCGTCCGTAGTGGAGAGTAGAGATGAATCGCATGAGGTGGGAGAAGAGTTAGACAAAGTTGGTGCATTGCCCATTAACACAAATCCCAATCGTGTTCCAATAACGAATGGAAGGTTTGAGCCCAATGGGTAGGATTGATGAGTAAGAAGTTCTGGAAACAAAGCACCTCCTATGAGAATGTCAATATTCTGAGGAATATGAAAGGTCGGATCTGCGAGGACAAAAGGTTTTACCAGTTCGTAAACCTCAAAAGAGAGTTGAGTACGAGGCAAAGGAGCGGAAATTCTGTCTAGAATATGGAAAGGTTGATTTGAAGCAATTACTTCACTGCCTAGTGTGGATAGTTCTAGGAGAGCATGTCCCTTTGTCGAGGATTGCGATGCAGAGATTCCCACGATTGTGTGAGTAGAGCGGTGACGAGAGACGTTTAATAGCTGTGCTGCCCTCTCTGTCATGAAGTTGAGTTGACTTCCACTGTCGAGCAGACATCGAAAGACATGAGAGATTCCATTATTAGCGGTAATTTTAATGAGAGCGGTGCCTAGCAGAACCGTAGTTGCAGGCTGAGAAATTGAGAGCGACATTTCTGGTTGAGCAGAAGCGACTACAGAAGGTGTAGCAGTTGAAGGTTTTGAGGGTTTGGCTACAGGAGGAGACTTTACAACATTTTCGAAGTGTAACAAGGTGTGGTGTTTTTGTTTACATTTAAGACATGTGCCTGTTGAGCGACAATCTTTGAGTGTGTGATTGCCAAGACATGAAATACATTTATTTTGCTCCTTTACAAGTTTGTTACGTTCGTTTGGAGATTTTTTAGCAAAAACCTTACACATGTAGATTTTGTGATCGGTTTGCTGACAGGCAAAGCATGATGGAAATTTCTTTACAGTAGTGGAGTGATCATCTGAGCTTACAAGTGCAGTATAGCGGGTGTTTGGTTTGGAGTAATTTTTACTAGATGTGAGGGCAGGCTTTGAATTAGCCTTGTGACAAAAAGTTGAAGAGTGTAGGTTGGCATCTTCACTGTTTGAGCATTCTTCATTGAGAAATTTAATGATTTCGTCCACAGATGGTAACGAATGAGTTTCACATGATTTGAATGAGCGGTAATGTTCAAGTTTTTGCCGTAAATTTCTATCAAGTCTACGGAGCAAATGAGCTGACAGCAAAGGATTGTCATTGGTAGTGATGTCACTTTCTAAAGCAATAAGTGATTGTGTATGTTCCAGAAAATTATTTAGAAATTCACGTATTGATTTTGTATTTTCAGATGTAGCAATGGGAAGATCCAATATGGCATTTAAATGTAAAGAAGTTAAGCGTCTGTGATTGTGGTATCGATCGCGCAACAAATTGTATGCGATTTTGTAGTTAGATGCACTATGATGTTTAAGTTTTTAATTAAATTTAGAGGTTCTTCAGTTAGACAGCTTAGTAGGTATTGAAATTTTGATACTGGAGACAGAGATGTGTTGAGGTGTACAGCGCTATCAAAAAGATTGATGAAATTAATCCACTCGGCTGAGTTTCCCGAGAAGGTTTTCAAGTCAAGTTGCGGTAGGCGGACAGGTTGCATGAAAGCAGTACAGTTGGAATCATTCACCATTTCTTGAGGGGGAGATTGAGGTTCGTCAATAGGGATTAGTGACTCTATAGTACTACAAAGATGTATACATAATTCACCAATAGTGTTTTCATCATCATTTAGAATAATGCCATCGAGTTCTTCGTCAGAACAATGTTCTAAAACGCGCCTGAAATTTAGTTCAAAGTCGTCTCGCTTTTTCCTGATTTCATCTAAATAGTTATGAAGTGATTTTATTTGCACAGAGGATAGGTTGTTTGCTTTAGCACTTTCATTAATAGAATCTATATTTTCTTGAATTTTTCCAAGCCTAACTTTGAATTGTTTGGTTAGTCTTTTATAAGTACAAACCTTAATCGGGGCTAGGTTCACAGGAGCCATCATTGAACACAAATACAGTCAAAATACACAAGACACAAAAGTTATTTCACTTCGTTACATAAAAAAATGAATTAGGCTAGTTCAATTAAACAGTTTGTGGGCCTTAACTCGGAACCAATCAACAAAAAATATAAACACTGAAGGATTGGTATAATGTTTACAAAATGACTATAATGTCACAGAGTCTTTCAGTCATTGGAGTAGGCCTATTAGACTAATGTGATCGAGAGACTGAGAGAGATAGAGGTAGAGGGGAGTACAAAATATGCGTGAACGACAATATTGAGAGTTTATGAGGTTATGTTCGTCTTTAATCTTCACCAAAAGTCCAAATAATTAATCCAATCAATTGGTTAATCAACAATCCGGCTCGAAGGACCAAAGATGTAGCGTAATCAAAAGGTTATTGTAGAAATAATAAAGTGGACTGTATATGGGTTATTAATTTAATTTTGACAACAGAAAATAATGGACTTTTGGTATAATTTTTAATTCTGAACTATAGTTATGTTACCACTTCATGACGTTAAGGTCTTGAAAGAAGATCTGGTCGAATGTTGGCTCTAGTTGAGAAGATAATATGTTTCATTAATGTCCAAATGTTCTCACAGTAGGGACACAGAATTTAGAGTGAAATTAAAAAGGGTTTATTTAATGAACACAAAAGGAAAAGGTAAATGAAATAAGTCAAAATAAAAGGAGAGAGAAATGAATTATGTTACACAAAGAAACGATATTACAAGAGAGAAAAGTTGCACTTCTTGAACCAGAATGTTTTTCTTGGAATGTTTACATTTTTAAAATTTTATTATTGTATTGTTGTTGACATGTGGGGATTATTTTAATATGCTCATATGGTCAGCTGGCCTTTACTGAACAAACGGCAAATATTGTTTTCGGACATCAAGAATTTTTTGATCTCCTTGTTCACGGACCCAGACATGAAGATTCTTCTGACTATGTTGTACGACTCTGTCAACACATGTCTTCAATCAGACCTGTCCAAGCTTCTTGCCAAGTCAACCCTTAAACTTTTATATTTCAGGATCTTAGAAAGTGCACCGATGTTTTCCTAAGAGATGACTCTATGAAACGTGCTCTACAGCCTCCCTACAACGGACCATATCCTGTAATGTCTCGTAATAAAAAATCCTTAATAATATCATAGAATGGCAAACAAGTACGAGTGAGCTTAGACAGGGTGAAGCCTGCATATGTGTTACCCGACAAATGTAATCAGCCAACAATCATAGAACCTCAAAATATGCAAACTTCAAACACATCTCTCAAACCTCCAAACCCGGCATCATTATTCAGAAGCTATACAACTCTGTCTGGTTGAAATGTAAAGCTCAAGCTTCCTGGACTTCCAGTCTCTGCGGGGGTCTGGTGTGGCGTCAACTTAGCCACAGCTGTGATGCCTTTGGTCTTCACTTTATTTTAATATTTATTATGTAACAGCTATTGCTAGATTGTTAAAATGTTTAGTTTTGACTAAGTAATGTCATGGTTTAGACACTTCTTCATTCGTTTGTAAATAAAACGTTATCAAAATATTCGTTCATACAGTGGTGCAATTATTTCATACTTATTAAACATCGCTATAAATATATAATTATTTATTACACAATTATTTTTTGTCTGAACATACCTGATGGTTCCACTGAACATGATGACATCCTGTGGAATAATGGAGAGACGGGAACGTACAACTTTGAGAGGAAGAGTTGCGATGTCGACATCATCAATGTAGATGGCTCCCTCACATATAGGCACCATGTGGAACAATGACATGACCAGAGAGGACTTGCCACTGCCTGTTCTACCACAGATCCCTACCTGCACACAATACAAATATTACGGAATTATCTTCAACTAAAACGATACCTTATATTGCCAGGTGCCTTTTATAACTTGATTAAATCTAAAGGTATGAATAATGAGATGGTTACAATTAAAATTACATACAATATGAGTAGCACTAGGTTTGATAACTGTTTTATTTGTTAACAAAAAGGAATAGAAAGTCCTTCGAATCTTTATCGATACGACCCTGAAGATTGAATTTGTATCTCCAATAACCTGTAAGTCAAAGACTCTAAGAACTCAGCTAAGTTTGACATTAAAGCTTTAAAATAAATATAGAAGAATAACAGTAATCAATGGTTGAGTTTACTAACCTTTTGTCCAGCAGGTATATGAAGAGTCAAATTTGTGATGACCCGATTAGAGTCATACTGAAGAGAAACGTTTTGGAATTTTATATCTCCACTCGTTGGCCAATTTTTGGGAACAAATCCTGAAAAATATGTTTAGTGCATAATTTCAGAACTCCAAGATAACATATTGGAGCTGTTTTTGCTAAAGACAGTGCAAAGATTAACTGTGACCATTAGATTGTTTGAATAATACATTTGACTCATAGCCATGTAAGAATTCCACAACAACACTCGTCAACTTAATAGGACACTTAAATATTATTATATTTAAATTGTGAGATTATGTGAATACGAGTCATCAGGAAGATTCTGTGTTGTAGGATCATGATTATTCACCCAATTCATCTCTTGCAAGTTGGATACACAAACTACTGATTGGTTTTATCCCCTCCCCAATCATTTGTAACGGAAAACAAACTTACTGGAATGTCTATAATCCTCAGAAGGAGCGCTGGCATACTGGGTGACTCGCTCAACTGAACCCATATACATTTCCATGTCTGCCAAAAACTTGACGACCCAGTTGAGATAGATGGGCACAAGAAGGGTATAGTTGATAGCCAGTCCCACCAGTGCTGGACTGACAACATTGGAGAACAGAGCTGCAGACACTAGAGATGTGATCATTGTGATGAACACTATCAGCCCACCAAGGTAGTCCTGAAAACAGAATAGCCTACATTAAAAGCTTAGAGAATTTGAAAAATTATTTATGATACTGATCAATGTATTTATAGGTAATACAGTGTAGCTGAAAATTTCTGGAGTGGGTGTACAATTTGGAAATCGTGAGGATATGGTATGTTCATTAGTTAAATAGAGGTAGAATAGTAAACTTAAGTTAAGAATTAAGTACCTAATTGTAATGTTGAGTCGATACAATGAATATTGTCAAGACAAAAAAGTATTATTATTATTATTATAGAATCTTCTTCTCTAAAAAGAAGACTAACCACCAATTTTACTTAATTTAAAATTTTACTCACACTTCTTACTATGGTGAAAAGTTAAAAAAAATTAAGTTTAAAAAATCCTCTATAAACAATAATAACAAACTTAAAACCATTCTAAATGTTGTCATATGCACATTCTTACCTTATGACAATTTTTAATCTCTTGAGTCCTTAATCAGAGATTGCAAAATCACTCGCTGTGGCTAACATGACAGATTTGCAGAAATCAAAGCCCTTGAATAAAGTTGTATCTAATATAGTGTAGTTGTGTAGTTAGGTTAAAACCCCACAATAAATCAAGAAGTAAAGTTACCAAAGCGATTCCAAGCCAGCGGTTGCATGAATTCCCGAGCAGGAAGACGTTGGTGTGGATATCAAGTCTGTGAAACAACACAGCAGCAAACCTTTGCTGCTGACCAAACGCTCTTATGGTCTCTAGGCCGGACAGAGTCTCTGCAAAGTGGGACAGTATCGGGGTCCGAGAAATGCTATCCAGCCTCTGCAGCTCCCTGTGCAAATTGTTAAATTACCAGTTGGTTTTCATTGGGGTTTGCTAAATTCAAGTGAATAAAAAACTGTTGAAGTATAGCAATGAAAAATCTAGATAAATTATTGTGTCATACACTGTTGTAATCGGGCTTACGAATAAATAATATTTAAGAGTAGAAGAGAGTAGCTCTGACATGCAGTGTCCCCTCAGCTAGTTATCCCAACTGCAAGGATTTTCTCGGCCAACTACTGCGGCAAAATCTAGCACACCCCTTACAATGGCAAAAACATCATCATCGTATCCCGCTATAGTGAAAAAAGCCATATCTGCTCCAGGGCGCTCCATGTCCACGCCACTGCTAAGTACAATGATGTTTTATCTATTTTCACAGTCTTTTGATAAATGTTTACAGAAGTAAAATGCTTTCAAGTGTATAAATGCAATCACCCATAATTTGAAAAGTTAATGTTTGACACCCTAAACATTAAAGTTGATCCATAAATAACAGAGGAGTTGTGCTCACACAAAACTATGCTCTAATACGAATAATTATAAACTTTAACTTTACTTTAGTTGTTAAGCTATATGTTTAATGCATAACTGTTTATAAAAAAATATTGCAGCACAATACTTTTTATATTACATAGGACCTCTAGTATTATAAAATCTTTGTTTGAATGCTTTTGCTTTTATTTTATATGGGTAATAACAAGGCCACACTAAAAAATCAGGCCGTAATGCTCGGCAAGCATGACGTCACGATAGAAGACGGCAATGACGTATTGTTTAATATTTTTGTGACAAAGGGTATTTGTTTATTTATTTTCCAAGGAAAGATGAAAACAAGCAGCTGATCGAGTGATCACAAATGGCAAACTACGTCATTGCCGTCTTCTATCGTGACGTCATGCTTCACGAGCATTACGGCCTGTTTTTTTTAGTGTGGCCTTGGTAATAAACACACTTTGTGCCATAACTAATTCTTAATAATGGTTTTTATTTTTTTTATTTTTGAAATCATGCAAATTTGTTGTTTATAAACATAATCTTTGGTGTTAACATTTTTACCTGGTTGAGCTTCTATAAAACTTTTGGACAGTATAGTAGACAAGACAGATGGGAAGAGCAAGCACGATGAACCACGGAGTAACAATACAGTTGACAAGAATTGCAGAGAAGCACAACAGTAGGAACTGCAGCAGTCTTTGCAAAGATGTTGCTATTTTCTTTAAGGAACATAAAAACATTGATTGGTATGGTTCTAACATTTAAGTCATAGTTAAATTTATTATTTGTAAATGGTTTGTGGAACTAAACTATTTCTAAACCATAATTTCTTATGCACAAAACTTTTGTATGGACAAGAATTTTTTAGGACATGTGTAATATTAAATTTTTTTTCACATGTCCTAATATTAACGTAAATTTTGTATGCATATAGTTTTACAGTACTCACTTTGTCAATGATGCCCAGATCAGTGGAGAATCTGTTCATGATGCGTCCCAGAGGTGTTGTCTCAAAGAAGCGGACAGGGCAGCTCAGCAGACCATCTAGCATGGAGTCATGTAGACGTTGGCGAGCTCTGGCCCCACAGTACTGGCCCAGGCCATTGGTAGCTAGGGACAGGAGGATAGAAGCCACAGAGAGCACACCGTACACCACCAGGTAGTACAACATCTGTAAAAAACCTTATAAGATATATCATTGTGTAAGCAAGTATATTACACCAATGGGATTAGTGTATGTTTTTGTCAAACTGCAGTGAATCTTATTAAGTCAAATGTTGAGTCCATCAATATGAGGGATGTGGGAAAACTGATAAAATCAAAGCAAACCAAATATCTCGTATCTCATTTCTGTTAAACTTGAATTTGTGTCAGTATACTATTTTCATTGCCAATGAAATCACAGAAGGGGAATAAAACTTACTGGGTGTAAAAGAAGAAGCAGGTGGATGTGAGGTAAAAACTAGAACTTGCTAATACAACTTGCCTACACCTAGTTCTATTGTTAGCTTAAGCTATGTGCAATGACAGTTAGCTACATCAATAAATACTAATAACAATTATTTGAGTTAAATGCCCTGAGACTTGTTACCAGAAGTATAACCCGCTGTAAGTGATAGTATTAAGTTTTGGGAGAATGTCGATTGAAAACATCTGAATAAAAGTTATCCAAATTTTTTCATCTGTGCCACAAGAAATTTTGTAGAAAACCCATACATTGAAGAAGAAGATCTTCCCTCAAGAAAATCTTCTGTAGTTATACTAACTTACCCTTAGAAGACCCTGTAGAAATTATGCATTTGTTTCAGCAGTGATTACTGTACATTCATCTTTCTTTATTACTTTTCGCTTAATTATGGTACGTATAGAGTTTAAGACAAGTAGTTCTATCAAATAGGCCACATAGAATACTCATCTGGCCTGCGGAGTTGTTCTAAAAGCTAGTAAAAATTCTTCAAACACTTTTGCGAGGGTGCGGATGATATAGCTCTACTTCAGCGTCTACAGGATTTCCTGAGCGCTTCTTCAACTAAATTACAAAACAAGTCAGTTAAAACCATGAACCACCTTTTGTATCGATCCCTGGAATTTATTGGCTCTTTCTGAGCACTCAGGGGAAGGTATTTTAGTTTGGCTGGTTGTAGGGACAGGCCTAGCCTGTTCTATGAATATAATTTAATTCCCCAACCCTGGACATCACAAAACTAACTGAATAACATTTAATTAGACCATTAAAATAATAATTCAAAACTATTTCTTATGCCATTTATTTGTAAAATCCCCAAACCTAGTTCCTGGTAGGAGTCTGTAGCCAGCAGGTATCATGTAACAGGTAGATGTTATCTTTTACATACCTTGCTGGATGACTCCTCAGTCCACTTGCTGAGCCAGTAGTCAGTTCCCACACGTAGCCCCTGCCACGAGACTGTAGCCAGTAGATATGTGGCCCCCGCCAAGGCTCCGCAAGCCTGCAGGTATGACAGGTAGATGCGTCGCTGTATCTGACCATACTCTCTCTCCTCCCGGGCTCCGCCACCCTGGCCCCACTCAACAGTCTCTACTGAACATCAGGTCACATGATTCAAGTTTATTTTTGTAGTGACAGTTGAAGAGTTTTGTCTAAATGCAAGTTTTTTTCAGGTTACTTGTTGATAATTTTACACTACAAACATCATTTACACATAAAAAGACAAAACTCATTAAATAGATGTTGTGTTAGAAAGCCTATACAAGGCTATAAGTCAATCCGTCATTGGAACCACTTTACTTTCTTAAAAGCCATCATTGCAAGTAGTGAAGTAACTGTGGTGATGTGAACATTATCACCTGATAATATTTATTATTTGATTTGTTTGTAAATATTCTATTTGTTCTTAACTAAAACATGGTTGTAATTTTGAATGAATAAAAGCCATACTTTTGGTTTACTAAGTCTTTCTTACAACAATTTTATCATTTCTTATCGGAAGAGACTTCAGATTATACACGGATCAGCAAGCTTTATCATTTATCTTTGACAAGAGGCATACAAGCAAAATCAAGAACGATAAAGTTATGAGATGGCGACTAGAGCTAACACCTTATCAATATGAAATAGTGTACCGACCTGGTAGGGAGAATGTAAAAGCAGATACGCTCTCTCGGGCATGTGCGGTTCGCTGGGACAATGCTAAGTTGTTTGAATTACACAAATCTCTCTGCCATCCGGGAGTCACTCGAATGTTTCATTGGATTAGAACTAGAAATCTAAACTACACTCTGGAAGATGTAAAAAGGATGACGTCAGCTTGTCAAACATGTGCAGAAGTGAAGCCAAGATTTCACCAATTCCAAGGCAAATTGATAAAGGCAACCACTCCCTTCGAACGTCTAAATATTGACTTTAAGGGCCCTCTTCCATCAACAACCAGAAACCGTTACCTTTTAACCATGGTGGACGAGTATTCTCGTTTTGTATTTGCTTACCCCTGTAAGGACATTAGTTCAGCAACAGTTATCAGATGTTTTTCAGATCTATTTTTGATGTTTGGAGCCCCGTCCTTTGCCCGTCCTTTGTACATTCAGATAGAGGTTCATCTTTCATGTCGCGAGAGCTGACGGACTTTCTTCACAAGTACGGAGTAGCTACAAGTCATACGACACCTTATAACCCTAGAGGGAACTCTCAGATTGAACGCTTCAATGGAACAATATGGCGAACCATCCTACTAGCTTTGAAAAACCACAACCTGCCAGTTGCTTCATGGGAAGAAGTATTACAGGAGGCACTTCACTCAGTCAGATCTCTTTTATGCACTGCGACAAACTGCACACCGCACGAAAGATTCTTTATACATAGCAGAAGATCTACCAATGGAGACTCCTTACCATCTTGGCTATCCGCTCCTGGTCCTGTCCTGCTTAGAAAGTTTGTAAGATCTAATAAATATGATGACCTTGTGGAGCCAGTTCAACTTTTGGAATCAAATCCACAGTACGCTCTCGTCCGAAGAAGAGATGGGTCAGAATCACAAGTATCCCTGAGACATCTTGCACCCGCTGGCCTACCTCCTGGTGATCTACCTCATGAAGACAACACTACTGAGAGAGAGATTGTTGAAAATATAAATTCAGACATTGACCACAATGAAGTTCAAAATGAAACTCAACAAACGGTATCTCAGACCCCAACTTCAGAGACAGCTGTGGGGGAACTACGTCCAAAGAGGAATGTCAAGCCTCCGTCATATCTAAAGGATTACATATGCTATACCTACCTTGAAAACTAGTGGGGGAGAATGTGGTGATGTGAACATTATCACCTGATAATATTTATTATTTGATTTGTTTGTAAATATTGTATTTGTTCTTAACTAAAACATGGTTGTAATTTTGAATGAATAAAAGCCATACTTTTGGTTTACTAAGTCTTTCTTACAACAGTAACAATGTATTTTCAGTATAACAAATCAGTATAAAAATACTCATAAAGAAAGAACACTACTACTATATTATATGAATATAATATTAAATTATTCCAAGACAAGAGAAAAGCAGAGAGGTACTCTGTATGTATGTATGAGTAGTTAATTGACAGAAATCAGAAATCAGAAATCTTTATTCATCATTGATCATATTACATGAAATAGGCTTCGTCATACAATATAGGCTAAATCTATCATAATACTAAGGAAAAGAAAATCTACACATATAACAATCATAAACCTATATATATAATACTACTGACAATAACAACAACATTTCTTGGTGAATTCTATCTACAAATTAATCTAGGATCACAGGACAGTCTAAAAACTCAGTTAAACAATAAAACGGATTTTTTAATAACCAATCGTGAATCTTCTTCTTGAAAACATTGACTGGTGCAGTTCTAGCATATGATGGAAGTTTATTAAAAAGTCTAATGCAGTTGATTTTGTGAGATGACCCAGTTTTGGCTAATCTATGCATTGGGATATCAAGTCTCACCTTCCCTCTTGTGTCGTGGTTGTGTATGCTCTCTCTTGTGACAAATTCTTGTAAGTTCATTTTGAAGTGCATTAATGAGCAAAGTGCAACATACAAATTTACAAATACAAATTTACAACAGTGAGTATTTTAAGTTTAATAAATAATGGTCAAATTGTGTGGTATGTATCACACTTAAACTATAAAGGTTGAATGAGTCTTACAAGTCTCGTCCTCATCAAGGAAGTCATCACTGCAGTCTGAGGTAGTTGAGGACAAGCGGTGTAGAGGCGGCCGTTCAGCCTCCACAATGGTAGCTGATCTGGGGATGGACTTTAAACTATTAAATAATTAAGTAATGGGGATTGAAACATTTCATAACTTAGGTGTAAACTTAGAGTACCTAACCATTTTTTTGTATAAAAGATTAATAAAAATTGATTGATTGATATTTATGGATGTATTCCATGTTTAATAAATGGATATCTTAACAATATGGGAAGTATATTTTCTGAAGTGCATCTTCATACAGTAAGTGTGGTTGATTTGTCCTTACAAGAATTCTACAGTTAACTGATAGTTAATTATCAATTTTAACTAATGTCAAATTATATACAAATAAATTATGAAAAGGAAATACCAAAAAATCTAAAAATGTGATAATACTGTACAAATAAATAAATCAGCACTAAGCTTCAATATTTAGTTTAAAATAAAATTTAGGAATAAAATTTTTCCAAAAAACAGAAGAAATCTTGCTGATATTGAAAAGTATTTTCCTATTTTCCTAAAGCTGCTAATTGCTGCAATTACATACTCGTACTTTGCCGCACCTTCGCTCACTAGTTACACAAATAACTGTTAGAAATAAATTTAAATTTTGTAATATAAATAGAAATACTATATGTTAAAAATAGAAAGTAATTTTCTAGAAGTTTAAAAAAGGCACTTACTTAACAGAAGATGTTGATATAAGTCTTCTCAAGAGAGTGTGTTCCCTGACTGTGGTGTCAGCAACTGAAGGTAAGTTTCTGTGTAAAAATAAGACTTGGTGAATTGATAAACTCTTCTAAAAAATTTCGGTTGCATTAATAAATCTGACTACTGTACATAGTCTGTGCATTGCATTTTCGCTAGCGTAGTTTTTATAGGTAATTTCTTTGATTTAAAGACGTTGAAGCTGATTTATTCCCTGAAATAGGTGCTTACCATTAAAAAATATTATGATCAGAAAATTGCATGAATTTAAATCAAAGTCTATATAATTTAACAATGCAAAACCTTTAATCTGTTTTGTCTAATATTTTCAGTTAGAGTCAAAATATTTCAAAACTCAATTAGACCTTTGAAGCTGTATGTTGATGGAGTATGCTGACATTAAGTTCTCTATAGGAAATCATTCTTATCTTTACCTTTATTACCATTTCTATGTTTACCTTTGTGTTGACATTGAAAACAATTGCCTTAATAAGCCGCTTCCACTTGCACTTGGGTGTCGTTCGGAAGCTGATGATGATGATGATATGTCAAACGTATACGTTCTGGTCCTGAGTTATAATAAATAAAATAAAAAACAAACCAAAAGAGGGCAAAATAAAATGATTATAAACTTTATTGTAACAACAAAACAAAACCTTTAAAAAATTAAACAGAATAGTAATTGTCTTTGTGATAAATGGAACATTTATAATATCATGACCCAGGGTGAATCTCGTAAGATGCCCAGTAATGATTCCACAAACCATTGGTCTTACGATGGTAAAATTAAAAATTTGTCTCAAATTAAAACTGGCTTTCTTACAAGATTCACCCTATGGACACAGTTCTTAAATATACTACGTACTCATTAAACATTTAACAAAATAAACGAGAATTAAAACATTTAAGTTATGATAAACACCCCTGCTGCAGCAAACTGGCATAGGCCTACTAAGTTAATTTCCATTTGACTGATCGGATTTACAGTAAAATATTTCCTTAAACCTGTTAAAATTATTCCAAATTTAAATAACGGTAGGTTTAGTGATTAACGTAATTAGGTTTGCTGCTACAAGGAATTTATCTATAATTTAGTTTTTTCATTCAGTCTAAAAGATAATGAAATTGCAGGACTGCAGTACCTAGGAACATTGTTGATGGTGGGAGATGAAGCCTGGCGCTTGACAGGGTAGATGTAGTGTGACGTCGGTGTCTGTAGGGACGATGTGCGTGTTACGGCGCGTCGCTGAGGTAGAGAAGTGGTGGAAGCAGCTCGACGTCGACGTAATACTACATCCTCCCCATCACACTCGTCAGTCGGCAGCGGCAGATCATGCGTAAAGTATCGGGAGCCAGAGAACTTACTTAGTCTGCGGCGGAACGGCACAAATATTGGAGGTGTCTGAAATTTTTATAAGTACTAGCTTATAATTCAACACTAGTACTTACTTATACCATGTTAATGGAAAATTAGTACATGTTTCAAAACTGTGAACTCATTACATTTGTTCAGTACAGTTCTGTAAATAGCGTAATTAGTAGTCTCATCATCAATCATTAATTTTATTAACATTTAATTAACAGTGTGCATAGGGTTTAATATTTATTTGTATATTAGTTACTTATTTTAAGTCTGTAAAATGTACTCTACTCTACTCACACACACACACATACCACGGCAATTCCCCTCCCCCACATTCTCCTTAAAATCATACGATGCCTACGTCATATGGCGTGATCTATCTCTGTCTCTTTCCCTCTCATGGAAAATTCAAATTTCCCCACCATGATTTTATTCAGTTAGCGTCTAAAACCTTCCTCGATCGGACGTATGTGCCGCGCCGCGCCGTTTTCTGGCAATCTCTCGGTCTTTTGACCACCTCGTGGTGGAAGTGTCCCCACTTTAAAACCTATCTCTTAATCAGTGAATAATAGTACTAAATTCCCCATTTCGAAGTGTGTAGTGCATCTGAACTTCCAGATCTTCTTGTGTGTCCCTCAGTGGTGAGCTCACCCAATCCCCATTCCCCCTGCTACTTTCCAGTGTTGGATTTTCTTATTGAAAGGTATGTGACACTGTTTTTTTCTACTCTCTATTAACTCTCATATCGAACATATTGGTCCTTCGAGCCGGATGTGCTTTGAATCACGCTTTGGAAACTTGCCACTTTGCAACTTTGAACTTTGACTCGGCGTCCTTTGAAAAGCCACATGTTTATTTTTCGTTATTATTTCACTGAACTCAAGTTTCAAACTCTCTCTCATAATTTTCTGTGCGGTAAACACTAATTTTATTGTGCATAAACTCTGAACATTTTGTAGTACAAGTGCTTATTGAAATTAATTATTTCGTTTTGGCCCGGAATCGCCATTTTTTCTTGGTTGCGTCGGTTGTACATGAACGAGGGAAACGACGCTTCCCCCTCTTTGCAAATCAACTTGAACTGTATTGGACGATATGCGCGCCTGCGCGAACTTCATTTGGTGATCGTATCGATCGTGAACGTTCTCCCCCCTCTGATCGATCAGCTGATTGACCGAACTCAAAGCGCATCAGCTGTGCATTTGATGTGAACGTTATTCCTTTTTTCTCCTTCCTCTCACAACAATAACAACAACACATATGCCTTTGTCAATAGTTTTAATTAGTTATAAGTGTATGTGTGAATTTTTATTTATTGTTGATACTAGGCCTACTGTCATTTATTGATCATAACGTAATTTGTTATTGACCTTGCAAATTTTTATTTGTTTTTATTTCTCATTTAATTATATTCCACATTAATATGCTAACTCCTCTTGTGATCATAAATGCTCATTGTCTTTAAACAATTGTTTATTATTAGTTGTTCACTCGTGTAACTCATTTAATCCTCGACTGCTAATTACACAATATTTAGTAGCCCTTTCACTATTGACGTTTCTTGTTTTTCTTGCTTATTCTCTTGTCTCTGAGTAATCATAGTATATACTTGTTAGGTGCATTTTGTTGTTCTGCTAAACAGTTAATTAATAGGACTCAACTGATTTAACTTCACTGTTGTAAATGACCTAATTTTACATTTGTATATTTTGTTAATTATTGTTCTATCGTCAAATTACGTATTTAGTTAATTGAACTTAAGTAGTTTATGATCTATCTATTTATAGCACACTTTATTTATTACCGATCACTGAGATCATAACACGCGGTGAGCGTAGCTGATATCCGTTCATAGCCTCTCTAGGTCAGCTGTTTCAGATAGTCAGCTGTTAGTACAAAGCCAAACGGTGTTCATTGTGGAACATCCGGAACTGACTCAAACTACGGCATTCCATTTAAAAGCCGTACAGTTCTATAAATCCTCTGATATTTTATTTTCGCTCATCTAAATATTCGTTTGACAGCTCTTGAACACAAATAGTGTCCCCTTAACAATATTGAATAGTTTTTAATTTTTCATTTATGTTTTCTATTTGTCACTGATTGTACATAAAGAGGCTAACGTAAAACATTTTTATAGGCTAACCACTTTGTATAAATACGTTTGAATACAAAACAAACCATTAGAGTAATACATTTATCCACTATTGTTATGTATTGTTGATACTAACGTTTCTTTGTTAACAACATTGCTTAGCATTTATTCATGTTTAATGCTTATTATAACTTTTTTTCTTTTATGGTTTCATCATTGTAGATTTTATTGAACTTATTGTAAGGTAATTCATAACCTAAACAATGCCTGGACCAATCAAGTTTTCCACTTATGAACGCTCCACTGCTTTAATCAAAGCAAGGTTTGAGAAAATTCTCACTGCAGTAGAAGCTGTAGCTAATCTACCCCCTCCTCTCAGCCAGGTCAACTTAAGAACCTTAAGTAGTTATGCAAAAGAAATAACTAAAAAACGTGCTGACTTTGAAGGTAACCTTCAAAGAGTTCTTGAAGGTTTGGCCCCTGAAGAAGCTCCAACCTCACAACTGTCTACTGATCAAGATGATATCAACGATGTTTATATCAAAATTCAAAGCATTATTGAATCCTTGAATCCAATTGACGAACCACGCACCCCTTCTGCACATAGCGAGCCAGGTTCAATTTTTACTCATGCGTCAGTAAATATTAGGCTCCCGAAGCTTGAACTAAAACACTTTGATGGCAATCCATTACAATGGGTTAGTTTTATTAACCTCTTTGACTCTAGTGTACACAAAAATGTGAGTGTGTCTAATGTAGCCAAATTTCAGTACCGGTTGATATTGCATAAAATAGACTCGGACCTTCGCAAAAAAACTCGAAGCTTATAGGTCTACTCAAGACCATGAAGCACACACTCTGCCGGAAGTGACGGAAATTATAAAATTCCTCAATATCGAATGTGATCAAGTGGAAGACGCTGGTTTGCACCTAACTCACTCTTCTATAAAGACTAATTGTGGTCAACCCTCTAAATTCAAAGGCACAAAGTCAGTCAAATTCTCCTCTGACCGTCCCAGCAAGAATGTGGCTATGCTTACCACTCACAAGACGCAATCGTCTACCTCTTGTTTTGACTGTGGTAAACCAGACCACAAAATTTATGTTTGCCCTTCCTTTAAGGGTAAAACCCCTCAACTACGATATCAAATCGTAAAAAAGGAGAACAGATGCATCTCTTGTCTCGGCTACCATGATAGCAAGTTATGCAAATCTCAGGCTACTTGCTACATTTGTCATAAGAGACACCATAGCCTGTTGCACTCACACTTTCAACAACCCTCAGCTGACGTTAAACCTCATAAGGTACCTAAAGACAATTTCTCTCCCGCTAAAGTAGCTACAGCCATGACTTCTCAATCTCAGTACAGTTGCGAATCCACTGTGCTCCTAGGTACTTTGTTAGTACAATAATTGACCTCCCCTCAAGGTACTACTCACGTCTTCCGGGCTCTCTTAGACTCGGGAAGTATGTGTAATTTTATTTCTGAGCGTGCTGCTCAATTGCTGGGTGTCAAGCGCACACATTCCTCTGTTCAAATAACAGGTATTGCTCAAACGGCTACCTCTACCCGAGGACTGACACACTTGACCTTAACCACTCTCTCAGGCCTCACCATGGTAACTCAGCACCCCTTCCTCATTTTAGATGTAAGCCAAAGCCTACACACTAGCTGACCCTACGTTCCACTTACCTAGTACCGGTGTAGATGTTCTGTTAGGTGGATTTTTATTCCCACAGTTACTCACTAACGAAAGCCACTCGCTTGGTCCCAACCTCCCCCATGCTGTAGGCAGCCATTTTGGATTCATCATAATGGGACAAGCACCATGTACGTCAATCACTCCTCTTTCAACACATTATTCTGTATCTATGCTCTCTGTCAATGACACAGAGTTACATAACTCGTTGCAAAGGTTCTGGTTGCAGGAAGAACTACCTCCATGCAATAAACGGACAGCGGAAGAAGAACTTTGCGACAAACATTTTGACGCCACTCACGCTAGAGATTCAGACGGACGTTACATAGTCAGTCTTCCGTTCAAACAGGCTCACCCCCCTCTCGGAGCTTCTAAGCTTGCTGCGGAGCGCAGATTTCGCGCATTGGAACACAAATTCCGATCTCAGCCTAATTTCTCGGAACTTTACCATGAGTTTATGAGTGATTACCTCTTAGCAGGTCACATGGAAAAGGTTTCCACCATTGACTTATCTCAACCTCATTATTTCCTCCCTCACCATGGGGTACTAAAGGAAACTAGCAGTACCACAAAGCTAGGCACAGTTTTTGATGCTAGTGCGCAGACTAGCACAGGTATCTCTCTAAATGACGTCCTTCTCACTGGACGAAAACTCCAAACAGACATTTGTGACATTTTACTTAATTTTAGAGTCCATAATGTTGTTTTTACCTGTGACATACGGCAAATGTACCGACAAATTCGAGTCCGCCCAGAAGACCAGAATTTTCAGCTGATCCTATGGCGTGAAGACCCCTCTCACGAGTTTGACATCTACAAGTTGACAACAGTGACCTACGGCTTAAATAGTTCCCCCTATCTTGCCATAAAGACCTTGGGACAACTGGTGAAGGATGAAGGAGAAGCTTTCCCTGACGCAGCCAGAATCATCATCTCTCATTCCTATGTTGATGACATAATCACAGGCTCTGTTGACGAAGAATCAGCCCTCCAACTCCAGGGTCAACTCATCGCCCTTCTGAAGAAAGGTGGATTCGAACTCCGGAAGTGGTCGTCAAATTCCCCTCGCCTACTGGAAGCAGTTCCAGAAGATCATCGTGAGACACCTGTCTTTCTGCAAGATCCAGAGCAACCTCATTACTCCATCTTGGGACTAAACTGGTCACCTACTACGGATTCCTTCTCCTATCACTTGGACCTACCCTTTGGCGCTTGTACTAAGCGTCAACTACTCAGCAACACCACAAGGATTTACGACCCTGGTGGTTTTTTCTGTGACTTTGACATGGACTACTCCTTCTCCACAGCTTCATGTTGGAGACCTCATCCTACTTCAGGAGTCATCACCCCCCTCCAGTCGCCCCTGGGATGCATCACCGCAACACATCCCGGAGACGGTGGTATAGTTCGTGTAGTAGACGTGCGCACTAACCAGGGTACATACCGAAGGCCTATATTTATTTGTATATTAGTTACTTATTTTAAGTCTGTAAAATGTACTCTACTCTACTCACACACACACACACACACCACGGCAATTCCCCTCCCCCACATTCTCCTTAAAATCATACGATGCCTACGTCATATGGCGTGATCTATCTCTGTCTCTTTCCCTCTCATGGAAAATTCAAATTTCCCCACCATGATTTTATTCAGTTAGCGTCTAAAACCTTCCTCGATCGGACGTATGTGCCGCGCCGCGCCGTTTTCTGGCAATCTCTCGGTCTTTTGACCACCTCGTGGTGGAAGTGTCCCCACTTTAAAACCTATCTCTTAATCAGTGAATAATAGTACTAAATTCCCCATTTCGAAGTGTGTAGTGCATCTGAACTTCCAGATCTTCTTGTGTGTCCCTCAGTGGTGAGCTCACCCAATCCCCATTCCCCCTGCTACTTTCCAGTGTTGGATTTTCTTATTGAAAGGTATGTGACACTGTTTTTTTCTACTCTCTATTAACTCTCATATCGAACAACATTACATAGAGATTTCAAATATACTTTAAGTTTTACAAAAACAGATGAGCTAAAATATCTGTGAGACCCTATTTGCAACAAACAATAGTGTGTGACCTGGAAGTTTTCAAGAAGTTCTACAATATAACACGTACAAAGTATCTGGGCCATTTCTTGAAAAATAATCCAATAGTTCATGTTTTTTAGTAATGAACTTTACAATACATACAACCCTTTCTGAATATCATATCAACAATACAGGTAAGAAAATATGTAGGAAATCGGAGTATTAACAAGATGAAAGATGTTACGAGGAACATCGGTTGTAATCTTTTAGAACAGCCAAAAAACACAGCTTGAGCCTATTGGCTACTTGTATTACAATAATATTTTTTTTCTGAAACCTTACAATATGATCAGCGTGCCATGTTCCGTCAGCCAGGTTGCGTTGTTTGAGCTGTAAGCCAATGCGAGACACCAGTTTGATGAGCTGCCACCTCTCACGAGCTGTACGGCCCTTGTGAGTCTCCCCCAGTGAGCGGCCGAGGACAGTCACTCCTGCCCTCTCTAGCTCTGCTGGCGACCCACACGCCTTCACCCGACCTTTGTCTATCACCACCACCTTGTAAAACACAGCCGTATTGTCAGTGTTGATAGGACTCTATACCAATTAGGCCCTACATTTGTACTAAAAATAGCATACGTTTCATTCTAGACGATAGGAGGAAATAAAACCGTTAAGGTTTCAGAAATTGTTTGATGAAGAGTCATCTTGTATTATTCACAGAATAATTTAAAAGAAATTATTTTGGCCACAACCAACAGTTATTTTATTGTTATTGTATTAAAAGAAAACCCAAATGCTTGATTCATGAAAGTTTTTTAGTGTGTTAAGCAGTGTTTCCAAAGTTACTTTTTCCTTACGTAACACTTTACAAGATAAAAAGATCTTGCTTGCCACTTAGTCATGTGTGATCTTAGACAAAATTTGTTTTCTATTTATTATTTTGCTGATATAATTAAAAGCCTGATCTGATTAAATCTTTCCTGAACGTGAAATGTTTAGCGTTATTGAATAACACAGATGCTGATGAACCACAAACTGATAATAAAACAGCTCAAACTATCCTGACACTCGTTACTCGTTAGGTATTAGATAGGCACCACGTAACATCACAGTGGCCTCAACCCCTTGGTTGGGAAACACTGGGTTAGGGTACTTGTGTGTGAAGCAGGAAGCTGTACAGTACCTGATGAGCAAGGGAGATGAGCTGAACACAGTGGGTCACCATCACTACACTCCTCTTCTCTTTGATTACCAGTCGTCTGATGCCTTCCTCAAACACTTGCTGGGCTACTTGTTGGTCCAAGGCAGACAGAGGATCGTCCTGTACATTCATAATCTTTTATTCAACATCGCTAACTACATGGCATAACTATGTCTATTGCAGGACTTTCAAAAATGTTTCTGATAATCTAATTGCCCTCCATTTATTTTGCCAAAACCAATGTGTGGTGACTCACAAAATTTTCAATTACAGTAAATAGGCTGTTTGGATGCCAAGTTCAAAAATTTTAATTTTAAAGCTAAAGGCTTTATACATTTTATAGTGTTTATATTAAAAAAAATTCCCAATAAGGTATAAACAGCAGAAACAAAAGTTGAATGTGATTTCATTTATTATATAGTGTTCAATTACCATGATGACAACATTGGCTCGGGAGTAGAGAGCTCTAGCTATGACCACTCGTTGCCTTTGCCCTCCGGAGAGGTTGATGCCTCGTTCCCCGATGTCTGTCATGTCCTTCCCAGGTAGAATGTCTATGTCTGGCTGCAGAGCTGTGGCTGCAATGACTCTGTTGTATCGTCTGCTGCGGTAAGGCCGGCCAAACAAAATGTTGTCTCGCAAGCTACAGTTGAGCAGCCAGGGCTTCTGAGAAACATACGCTATACTGCAGCCTCTGGAAAATGTAAAAACATTATACAGTAAACTATACAGGGTGACAAAAAAGTCTGGAAACGGCTTAACATCTTTTTAACTAAATCCGTTAGAAAAGTCAAACTTTTCACATCAACTTACATGTATAAAAACTACTTTTTCCAAGCATTTTCATGTTTTTACTTCCACCAGGGGACGACCCATGAGGAGTAGGTACATAATCTTTAACGTAAGCATAGGTTGATATGCACATAATTTTAAAGGTCTAGTCAAGTGGAGTCCATTGCCGGAAACTGCGTCTCAAAAGGTTCATTCGTTACAAAATGGCGGCATTTCAAAGTTCTTGTGGAATATACCTTTACAGGCCTTAATATTGGTAAATACTCGTATTAAACATTATCTTGAGAGCTGAAACTGTATTTTAAAGTCAACTAGCCCATTGTCTAAGTTTATTCAATCTTCAAAACAATTTTAACCGGGTTTCAGATTTCCCGGCTAATTTTGACTATGACATTTTACCATTACCAAGGCATGTGCAGGTATATTCCGCAAGAACTTTGAAATGCCGCCATTTTGTAACGAATGAACCTTTTTTGACGCGGTTTCCGGCAATGAACTCCACTTGACTAGACCTTTAAAATGATGTGCATATCAACCTATGCTTACTTTAAAGATTATGTACCTACTCCTCATGGGTTGTCCCCTGGTGGAGGTAAAAAAATGAAAATGCTTGAAAAAAGTAGTTTTTGTGCATGTGGGTTGATGTGCAAAGTTTGAATTTCGTAACGGATTTAGTTAAAAAGATATTAAGCCGTTTCCAGACTTTTTTGTCACCCTGTATAATACTTAACATGAGACAAGTGTTCCAAATTTGCTTATCATCGATGCTACCCTGTGGTGTAGCCAAGGAAGGAGGTTTTGGGGTTACAACACCCCCCCCCCCCCCCCTGTTATCGAGAGGATTATGCCATGATAGCAAAAATGTTAAGTACCGTATTGTGTTGTGATTGGGTGAGCCAATCATGATGTCTCAGTGACAGTGAAAGATGTAAATAATGATTATTCCTGAATTAAAAAAATGGTTTTTGAAGTTATGTCTGTGTGTGTGTGGATGTGTACTGAGCTACAGACACACCTATGGTCCGATTTAGATAAAACTTTGTATGTGGGTACTAATCCATGGATACTCCAGTTTTATTTTTTATTTTTAGAAATTCTATTTCTAATGATGATTTATCAATAAAAATCCATAAAAATAGAAAAACTGGATTGTCACCAACACAATTTGAACAATTTTGTTAAAATTTAAGTATGCTATGGTCTTTTAAATTTAAAACAACATGGTACAATCTCCAATGTTGTACAAATTATGGGATCAGCAGTTGTGGTAACTTGTGTGATTTTATCCATAGACCCTATTATACAGTATCATATAACTAATATTGCTTCCCCATTATAAGGGTTGTTAATAAGCTAATGAGAGAAAGTATGTGTTGGTTCGCTGATACCACTATTTCTGTCCCAACGATTCCGTGGGTTGCCTTAACCACCTTCCCTTGGTCTGCAACACAGCTAGGTCTTACACAGTCCTGGCTACACTACTGATGCTATCGAGGTTGCTACAGGCCCACTTTTATAAACGGGCAGACTGGGCATATGACCAGGGGCGCCAGAGGTTTGGGGGCGCTCACCGGGTGTCCCCCAACCACTGCCTGCCCACACTAGGAAAAAAGGGGGCGCTGCTTTTGTGTTTGCCCAGGGCTCCACTGACCCTTAACGCGGCCCTGGGTTGATAATGCAAAAGCAAGTAATGCTATTTAAGTAGACTTTTATTTGAGACACAGTAGAGAGCCCAAAGTACTTACTTAGTCCATCTAACAGCTCCCTTAATGCAAGGTATTTCTCCTAACATGGCGCAGAGCAAAGAACTCTTACCACTGCCAGTGCTACCAACTATCATAGTCAGTTTACCTGAAACAACAAAGAGTGTTATTCTTGCATCAAATTATTTCATTTAGAGATCTACATTTTGCTCTATTTAGCAAAAGATCCACTCAATTGCAAATTTTTTCATTGAAATTTAATAGGAGCTTTGTCATATTTTGTCCCAAATAACGATCCTTTGCATTTGCTTTTTACACTAGAAAACGTGTATTCAACACCGGTAGTTTAACTTATACTCCATGGCATTCAATAGTTAGTCTTAATGTAAAATTTTTTCAGGCATATACCTCAAAACATGAAGGTTGGGTCATTTAGTTGAAATTGTGACTTAGTTTAGTACTTATTTTAAATTTGTTCCACCTTTAAAAACAGTTTTCAAACTAACAACACAGTCACTTTACCTCGAGGGAAGTGAAGGGAGGGGATGACCAGAGTTGCCTCTTCTTGCGCTGCCCAGCTGAATGTGGCAGCTTCAATGGCTACTACGGGCATGAATCTGTCAAAATCTGGTTCAATCTGTGACAAACGCCAATGTTACATGACCTAAAGCACATTTATGATGCTTTATGACAGTACCTACTGGTTGAAATTTTAAGTTTGCCTCAAGAAGGTAGTGTTTTGTTACAACGATTTTACTGCTGGGCAATTTTTATTCATAGTACAATCTTACAAGGCAATATGCATTTTAATTATGATGTAATTGATGGTTGTACTCCTACTTTTTTCAAAGAATAAAAAAAGTTTAGTGTACGGAATTGTTTAAAAATACCCTTTTAAGAATTATTTATCTTAGATTGTAATTCTTCTGTAATTCTTACCAAATTAAAAGTTGATATTGTACAAAAAATAGAATACAGTTACCTCATCACAATCTTCGTCAGGTTCATCCAGCTCCGTGATGTTGCCCAAACCGAACACACTATCTGCTCTACTGGCTCTCTACAAATATTAACATGTTTTATACTCAATTCAGAATATTGATCTGTTTATTCAAATAATGGTCTATTATATAAAAAATCATAATACAATTTTTATGTGGACCGTAAATTATGAAAAAAAAAATGTTTTAATTGTTTTAGCATGGCATACATCAGGCCTAAGCGGTACTTCCTTATAAATCAGCAGAGGAATACATGTTTTAATACAGTGTGTTTGATATATGTTCAGTTATTTCTGGAGTGGGTTTGATGTTCAACTAAACAATTACTATTTTACTAACTTACTTGTAAACTACTAAGGCCAAATGGAGCTACCTATATGCCATCAAAACTTTCATTGCTAGCTGCTTGCCTAGTGTATTATTTATTCAAGTATGTCGCCCACTGTGATTTAACTTTTTTACACTTAATTACTAGTGCATATATTATCTAGTAAGCCTGTCTGTATTATTTATAATTTTTCTTATAGGTACCTATTTTTTGTGCATGTAAACCTTAATCAAATAGCTTGATTGTGTATGTATATCTCTCTGATTACCTTGTTTACTATTTATTGACATGATTTATTGCATTTTATGTATAATGTTTAATGATCAAATAAATCTACCTATCTATCTATCTATCTATCTATCTATCTATCTATCTACATGCACACTATAATGCATGTCTTTTGGTATTCTAGCCCATTAATGAAGTGATCAGTTTAAAAAACCCTCTTAGTAAGAAAAAATATTCAGCCAACTTCAATAGCCAACACACCCTCAGTCAAAAACAAACAAACAAAACAGGATTCAAATACATAGTTAGGATGAAAAATCTCCTTCCTTTCAATATCCCATTCAAGCAATATTAATTTAGTAAATCAATCAATAATTCATTGGTTGGGTATTTTATTGATGGATTTAAGATCTTCATAATGCTTACACTTGTTTCAACCACATCAGGTTCTGGCTGACGTGTCATGACTGGTCTTACATCAACTTGCTTTACTTGATGTTCATCTACAGGAGTGAAAGGCCGACTCTCGGGAAGATCAAGAAACTCCTCTAGTCTTCTTGTACTGACCTGACAAACACTGTGTTGTGAGCTTAGCAATTACGTAACTTGTTAGACTTAATTGTATAATGAGTATTCATTTTAAGAATACGTTTTAGCTCAACAATTTTGAACCTCAGTTAAGGTTGTTGTGTTTGTAGGAAATAGATAATACTTTTTATTTCTATGAGGTTTTCAGTTTGAAAACAATTTCAAAGCCTTTGGATTTCCAAAGTATATGTGCAACAGTACAGTAAATTAGATAAAATTAAATTGAATGTTGTGAATGTAAATCTTGTAGACACAAAAGGTAAATAAAATTTAACAAAATATATACTCACCAATGCTTGTATTATAATAGGAACTGTTATAGGGAAAATAAAAAGAGGCACAGTCAGTTGGTTGAAGAGTGCAAGGCCAGTAAAGACATCAGCGGCAGAGAGATGTGAGCCTTCCAGCCAATAGAACGCTGCCAAGGTGACAAGAGTGATGAGGGCAGAGGACGTGTGAGTCAGGAACGCTGGAGAAACAAATAGGAGAGATTGCTTGGATTACTCATAGTCATAAATTGAGGCTTTAAACCTATTGACGATGATGTTATTTTGATGAAAACAAAATAAAACATTTAACATGGGGATATCCATGTTCTAATGTGAAATAGCAATGCATTTCTACCAAATAAACCTTAAAAATCAAGCTGCTACCTGTCAAGTTTAAATAAAAGTAAAGTAAGTAAAGTAATATAAAGTAAGTAAAATCAAGTTTCAATACTTGTTGACCAGTGGTGTAGTGGGGCGAGAACGTGTGGCAGCGGCGATCCCACGCTGCGTTTTTCCAAGAATTGTATATTTTATTTCTATAATATGTTTGTCAGATTTTTGATAATTACTACACGTAAAATACAGTTTTATAAATAACAAAATTTGTACATTCATGAAATTTCACCTGTAATATTAGAAATGAAGATCCGATGAGTCCCCAAAATTTTGGGCGTCCTAAGCCCCTTTTTGGACCCTTTTTGTTCGAAGGGGGGTAATTCCTAAATAATGTTGTTTTTACGTTTAAGGTCGAGTGAGGTGTGGTTTTCGAAGGTTTTAGTTATTTTAAAACGATTGGGACTAGTTTTAAGCGTATTAAACCACTCCATACACAGGGTGTTCAACAAATATTATTACTTTTTTACGATCACATTTATTCATAAAGTAATAAAATTAGTTACCTCAAAGCTCTACATAAAAGAGGATTATTGAAAATAACTGTAAATTCTTTACTAAATAAGGGGGAAGGACCGCAAAGAGGAAGAGAAAATCTTAAATGCCCCCGCCGCAGCAAACCTGCAGACTAAGCGAATTTCCATTTGCCTGAATTGATTTTCAATTAAATCTATTTAAATAACATTATGTTTACCGGTACCGATTACCTAGATTTGCTGCTAAAATGGAGGCTAATAAAATGGGTTTTTAGTGAAATATTAAGAGCCTAGTATAAAACAAATAGGTTTTACAAGTTTAATCAAATTATTTCCATAAACAAGCAAGTGAAATCATTTTACAATATTCTCCATAAGAATAACATGGGAATATTAAATTTAAAATGTTTGAATTATCTGTAACCAACAACCGTACAAAAACACATTAATATATAGTAAATTATTTATTTTTTCAAGCTCTTTAAAATGGTCTAAAGATAAATTGGGAAACTTTTGTGTTTTGAGGGTAGCCAATTTTTACCCCATAAAACCCCGTTCACATGGTTCAGGACAAAAATGCTTATACCGACGATGCTACGACAACCGTACTTGATGTGTTTGTTGATTAATAATGGTTTTGAGGAACTCAAGATACAAGTTGCAAACGTCAGTATATGTATGATAGGTGTTTTTGCACCACATCACATTGTTCGTGCTTCAAGACTGGTGTTGCCTGTTCTGCAATCTGTAAGGTTTGTGAGGGAGAATTCTGCTTGAATACCAAATTGGACAAAATCGGTAAAGATGGATAAGTTGCCAATTTTGATGAAATTGCTAATGAGTTGCCTGAGAATAATTACTGTGATGATGAAACTGTAGAGATACTACGCGAATTGTAGAATAATGGCTTTGGTTTAAGTATTTCATTTTAATTTGTAATGTAAGGTTTTATGTAATTACAACTGTTTAAATTGTTAATGAATCTTTTTTAGAATTTTCAATTTGTATAAATAAGAAAGATACATATCAAATTTGAAATTGGTTTCAATAGAATTGCATTAAATATACAATGAAAAATACATCACACTACCTTGAACTAGAAATTATTGTGTAATAACCTTTATGATATACAACTTAATCCATCCCCTTTTCCTTTTCCTTTTTTTTTAATAAGCTATTAGGTACCGTAGGTCTCATGGTAAGACTACTATCTTTATTTCTCAAAAACTCACAGGAGGAATTTTATGAATGTACCAATTTTGTTGTTTATAGGGTGTTTTTGTATTATTTAATCTGTACTTAATGGTGAGTGTTCCCAAACTGCAAAATTTATATACACCACTGCTGATGACTGTTTCAAAAAGCAGTACAGCAGAAGCTGTACATTGTAATCCCTAACAGTTCTACAATACTTTCATGTTTACACTATTTTTAATACATGTGTTGGAGGAATTAGCACCTTGGCTTCAAATTTAGGTACCTATTTATCCACTGTTCTTATCACAGATATATCTTACTCATGAGCGCCCAGTACAGAGAGTCCTTGTTCAGAAACTCAAGTTCCTTTTGCCGTGTGGTGAGGATCCTGTTGGTGAACTCAGTCTCCCAGCCGCACAGTTTGATCAGTCTGATCCCCTGCAGCACCTCGTTGGTCTGCCGCAGACGCTCGTCACTCCAGTCCTGATATAACAAACAGATAACTAGTTTAGGACAGACTGCTATTTCAAAATGCATTGAACTTATTTTGGACTGTATTATTTATCATGGATAAGAGAATTGCTTGGCAAAATTCAAAATTGGCGAGCCTCAAAATTATAATTTGGCCTACCTATGAAATCACATTTCTTTTGGATATGTTTTTGGTACTAAAAAGTACATAATTATTTTGCCAATTTGCTTAGCATTATTACCATCTTTCCTAAACTCTAACATAACCTCAAAGTATTAGTGATAAGGAACCAAAATTAATTATTAATTACCTTTTAGACTCTTCTTAATTTTTATCTCTGTGAAATTCATCAAAATATTTTACGTCTATTCCAGCAATATGTCTATGAGACAAACTTTAAAATAAGAGATAAACACAAGTAATGGACTGATCTAAATAAATTTCCACTGTAAAGAAATAATATTGGCTATTGGCTTACTGATATATCTTTAGAGTTAACAGACATCTTCTTTCCCACAAGAAATTGGAGAGGTGTCAAGATGAGGATGCAGCAGGTGGCCCCAATAATGGCACTGATGCCCAACTTGCAATAAAGCAAGTACATCAGGATACCAATCTGGAATCAAGTTTAAAGTACGTCACTGGGAAGCTTAATATACACCCATTGTCCCTTTACATACACATACACGTTACACATTACATACACCATACATCCGTCCCTTTACATTTTCTGATACAGTAGTTAATTCTATTTTGGTTTTCTTCTATTCCCTCTAACTAAAAGATACAATGCCAATAACAATCTTTTTTTATTTGTTTGTATCTAATATGGGTCATATAAAAAATTGAGTAGTCATTGATGAAACTGTATTTTATGTACTATTACATACCTTGAGAGGGATGGCCCAGACATAGTGGCCTATCCAGTAGCAGGACATGATGTTAAAGGTGTCCTCGGACATGAGGTTTGTCAAGTTGCCCGTCCTGCTCTCCTGGGCTGAGTCATCCTCTTTGCATAGGCTGCGTAACTTCAGGGCCTTGTCATAGACTAATGCCTGTGGACAATTATATCCACAATTCCAGTCAACTTTTTGATCAAGGACTACATTGTTTAGATCAATTTGCTTCATTTTTTAGACAGTTTAATATTGTTGACAAAATTACCCACTGAATTTAAACAATGGAATTTACACCATGGACAAAACGATTAAATATAGACCGACAGCAGTGCTGCGGTTAGCATATCTCTGGCGTCTACGTCCACGTAGGAGTGCTGTGTAGTTTCACTGAAAAGAACTCGTTTACAAGAACCTAATAAAAAATAATCCCCCGGTAGAGGGCCCCTTCACAGCATGTAGCTGAGGGCCCCAAATGGTCCCAGTCCGGGCCTGCTCAGCGCACATCGCTGTAGCATCAAGAGCTAGCGAGCATTGTTATGATAATTTATTAGTTAGAGCCAGGGTTGCCAACTTCTGGATAGTTCCCCGGAATACGGGAGTAGGAGTTTGTTCCATTATTTATCTGTGTTTTAAATATTTCCAGGGATTTTCGGGCTTTTCCGTTAAAATTACGGCATTCCAGAATGTTGTACTTTAACCGTATTGAAAAGTGGGTCTGATACGTGGGTAGAATTCCGTTTGCAAGGGTGGTAGTGCTGGTAGAAGACGGTGAGACGGAGACGACGACGGCAGCAGTGAACAATGAGCACTCTCTAGCGGTACATCGCGGAACCTTCCTTTAACAGTCTATATTTATTCTATTTGTTCAAGGCAACGCAATACCTGTAAAGCTGTCTTGAGCCGGATGCCTTCTACATTGACTATGTGAGTGCTGGCCTGAGAGAAGCTGCCTTGTGCCATTACACTGACCAGTACCACAGCAGCCATCACATAGCCATTACCCAGTAACTCCTCCACTGTCACATCATGGGGCTCTGGCTGAACACGGGCTCATGTTAGTATACACATCAAATCCTCACTAGGTCCGACAGTAACCATGCATAGTCTTATTAATCAATTATGGTCATTTATATATATTGTTATAAATATTGTTTACAAAAAATATCAAAAATTGAACTGGTTGCGAAACAAAGCACTCTTTTAGGTTTACAAAAGCTTCAGCTTTCATTCAAGTGTCAATTATAAGGTATTAAAGTTTGCAATATATAGGCCTACTGTCATGTTCTACTAAGTGCAATTTTATACTACATGTATTATAATGTGTATTCAGTATTCACTTTTTTACATCGAAAGTAAAGTCAATAAAATATGTCATCCCACCCAAACAAAAGTAAACTGTATCTTTACACAAGTTCTAGAGAAGTACCAACAGTAACACACCTACATGAGTGATGTTATCTTTTGCAGAGATGTAGTTGATTACGACAGCAATGCCGAGAGGAGGGATGAAGCCAACACAGTCACCGAGCAGCTTGAGTAGTCCTCCCAGGACAAAGTTTGTCCAGTAGCACCTCATGTAACAACCCCACAACCTCACAGGATGGCCCCCTGTAGCCTGTAAAATGTATGTAATGAATGTACAGTTTATCTTTCATACTAATTTCCAGGCTCTTGGTTTGCATGTGATGGGCTATAGGCGAAGGAAGGAGGGTGTAAAATGAGGCCCCCTTTCCCCATTTCCTTTTGGGAAAATTTTCTTTCTTTCTTTCCCCCTCTAAACCCCCTAAAATATGGGTGTCCCTGAGCTCAGGCCCACCAAGACTATGTACTAAAGCGGCCCTAATAATTCCACATTTTTAAACCCAAATACTACACAAATTTTCTGTCTATCCTTAAACTAATGTAAAATAATCCTATCAAAGGACAATGCCAAACACAAACAGTAGTTTTTCAGCAGGCAACACAGGAGAAACTTACCTTAGCCCTTTGGTAGACGGAGTTAAACAGACTGAACTGATTAGCAGCTGTCTCGTTGGGATGAAGGATTCCTAGGTCCTCCAGCTCAAGAGGATGGGAGTACCCAGCCCTCAGGAGTGGCACCAGCCAGTAGAAGGTGACCTGGGAGAACCACTGGGCGCTGTGGTGGCTGTACATTTCCCCAACCTCTCCCATCACCTCATCATCCCTCTTCACTCCATTCTGCTTCAGCTTTGTCACAAAACAATCATATTTTTATATGGCTACATTACTAGAATTAATTTTGATCTGGATATTAGGAATACAAAACATGTAGTGTGCAAATTTCACTACAGTAATTAGCAGGGAAGAAGCTTCCAAGAAGGAGTAGACAAAAATGTTGACCATTGATATGAAGAGGATTCAGAACAGGGAGAGGAAAAGAGGACAAATCTTATGTTATCATTTCAGTACAAATACCTATATTTATTGTATAACATATATTATCATCCAACCATTAAAGTCAACCTCTAGTATAAATTTTAACCTTTGATTGCCCCTATACATGATTGTAAGTCCAACGTAAAAGAATATGATTTAATGAAAATAGGTAATATATGAAACAGAATCGCTTAATTTTAATAAAGAAAACACCAACATAAAATATGTGACAGGTTTTGGAAAAATAGTGTTTAATACTATTTTATAGTCAAAGGTTGAACTACATAAGGCAACCATTATAGTGTGAAAGTGTACCTTTCATCACAAGTCGAACAAATCCTTTAATTGAAAAGCCAAAAGACAAGTCACCAGGCAGATGTCATCTCTCTCTCCAAATCCATCCTCATCCCTTGTTTTAACAATATTTGGACCGTTCCCTTTCCAAACGTAAATAATGCCACTGGTGTATGAACACACTAAATAAAAAATATACAAATGCAATATTTTTATGTTTTAAATAACATAATCATTTTAAAATATTACCCTCTTTTTGAAATGTATTTATTGTTGGAAATGCAATCAAAATAATTCAAATTTAGATTCAGGTATCTCATGGGATGTCAACCAAATGATGTTTCATTATATTATATCAGAATGTTATATAAGGTACTGATACATTATATAAGTACAGAACTATAGTTATTCAATGTATTAATTTTAGCCCCAAGTTGCTGTGTATGTAATTAAAGCACTTGTATGATTGCTATAACTCCCATTTAACACTTTATGGCCTATCTTGTTAAAACTATTGTTATTTAAATAAATTTAATTGAAAACCCAATCAGGCATATGTAAATTTGCTTAGTCTGCAGGTTTGCTTGCTGCAGGATTATTTTTCGCTAAGCACACCTGTTAAAATAAGACTTGTTTTGCAAGTTAAGTCCGTAGAGTGTAGAACTGATTGTATACTTAAATATACATAGCATACAAGCTACAATGTTTAGTTATGTTTATTTGTTATTTAAAATAAGCTAAAAATTACTTAAAAAGATCATGTAAAGGTGAGTAAAAACCCACATCTGTGAAAGTGATGAAAAGAAAGTACACAAGTGAGCTGAGCAAATCGTATACACATACACGAAGACTAAGATTTAGTTAGTACCATAAAGGACGAGATGAAATAAACCCCACCACACCCAGGGCTATGCGGGGGCGACTACATTACCTTACACACCAAACACTAAACACACAGAGCTGTGGTGAGGTGCATCGCATCATCTCTCCAATTACATTTCCTTGCATTCATTTTCATACATATAAAATCTTTTCTCTTTTCATTTTCTTCTTTTCATTATAAAATAGGGAGGGATATATGTAGCTAACCACTTTTAGAGTAAACAAAAATTGCAATAGGGGTTAAAAAAACAACCAACCCCCGAATTGTTATTTTTGTAAATTTACTTTGTACTTCAAAGTAAACTTTAATTGAATTACTGTAGTTACATGAAACAGTAATTTTATAGTTTTTATCTATAAGAAACCAAACTTCCATCTCAATCGTTCTGAACTCATCCCTCATACAGAGTTTGTAAATGAGGGTAAAAAATCCAATTGTTATTACATATCATAGGCAAAAAGCCACAGTGGTTGACAACTTAGTCAGTGACTTTCGTAGTCATGTAATATCGAAATAATACACTAGCGCGCGCCCAGAATAACTAATAGCATAACCGCTGGCATTGTAGCGAGAAATAGTTCTTTCACCCGACAAACATTGATCACCAATCAAGTGAAGTTGTCCAAGTGTCGAAGTGGCGTAGTGGTGTAGTGGTGTAGTGAGTGGCGTAGTGACGTAGGCGTCAGATCTGGGTTAGCCACTGCTTGTGTTTACGATCTGGGAATTAGTAAATTGAAGCCATAACTCTAATTTGTGTGACAAAAATCATGAGCTTGTTGTGGGTCTCTAACGGAGACAGGACACTAATGAAACTATAAACTGTCAAAGTAGGCTATTTCTGGAGATCTAGGCAATTACCAATTACGTTTAACACAAATTTTGACTGGTTAAGTAATCATATACGCAAATTACCTAAAAGAAGCATGCTGCATACCGTTCAATGAGTTACAGGAATATGTCTCAAGTTCAACTTGACATGTCATAATAAACAGTTTTTATGAACTGTAACCATAAACAATTAATTGTGATTTTCACAATTTGAAAATATCAATATTGGAGTTTTGGAAATGGAATGATACGGCCATTCCCTGCTGGCATTGCAAAATCTTAAAGAAACAACCCAAAGAATAAGATTGTAAGTTTTATGAAGGACGCACCAAATAGACGATGAAATGCTGCATTTTCAACTCATGTAACATTATTCTTTTGAATGGTTCGTTTTAACGTACTATAGAGAATATAACACAATACATGTTCATTAGCGTAGTAACTGCTTTTAGAGTAAATAAAAATTGCAATAGGGGTTTTAATAGGCTATCAACGCCTTAATTTTTATTTTTTGTAAAACTTCAAATGTGTAACTTGGTTTGAAGTAAACTTTAATAGAATACGTTATTTTATAGTTTTTATAGAAAAGTGAAAAATTTAAAAGAAACAACCCAGAGAATAAGATTGTAAGTTTTATTAAGGATGCATCAAATACATAATGAAACCATGAGAATGTAACATCAATGTAAGGTGCAAACATGTACATTAGCGTAGTCCTAGACTTCATTCTAACTACCACGAACAAGATTCTAAACTGTCAATATAAAATGCGAACGTTTAGTAAAGAATTACTTATTCTCAACCCAAGTGTACAAACTTTATTGTAATTGCTAAGTCATTCTAGTTTAATTTTGAAACTACGCCAAACGCTGAATAAACTTAACATCACACCGATGTACCTCACTAATAACAACCCCTATACCCTGAGGGGTGGGACTTATACAACTCATCAGAATAAGAGGAAACTGCTTTGATTGTCGATCTCCGAAGTCCAAAACAGCTGGCGAGGCATATAAAGGTCGCATCAAAGGTCGGGTCTGTAACAGGAGCTATGAACAGAATACCGTATCGATATACTGTAGTTCATTGACTATCCCTACAGTCTATTAATGTAATCTGTAAGGGGAACCTTTCCGCCCAGTAAAATTAACATATCAGGACACAATTGTTTTTGTTACTGATTCGAGAGATGAAATTGTGAGGTGTGAGGTTAAAATAATGTAGTCTAATAATAACAAAGAAATCAAGGCAATAAAGCATATAATTAAAAAAATAGTTCGTTGAATTTTAAAAAGCTTAAAACATAGTAAACTTATTCGATCGTTTGACGTCAACATCTTGTACAAAACTATGCTACTGTGCTGAATTTTATTTATTCCAATTAGATACGTTCCGCTTCAAAAATTCCTTGGCTGGTCCTATTTAAAATTAACATATTTATTGGCCTTGATTTTAAGTTTATTATTAGTCTTATGTTTAGTTCCAAATAAAGCTATGACATTTTTCATTCGCTAATTAGAGTAGACCCCGTAAAGATGTTCCGATTATACATTATGTATTTGGCACTTTGATGTTGGGAATGTGTAGGTCTATATACTACAACTCAATAGACATTACAAACAGATATTGAAATTTTGTTAAAGTTTGAATAGGCAAAAAGTGTGGTTATTTGTTTGAAATTTGATCGAGAGATAACTTAAGAACCCCTACTGCTAACACTGGTGTAAACAGACCTTTCGTAGAACTTTGTAATCGTAATTCAGATTGAATCAGCTGTAACAATTGGGCTGTAACAATACATGCAGCTGATCTCCGACAGTGATATGTAGCAATGTAGCCTGTATATTTGAGCGACAGGTGACAGATTACAATTATTGCAAGTCAAATGACGTCACGAAGCAGCTGTTTATGTTCTGGAGTGAGTTGAACAAACTTTAACAGCTGGTCGTTTGATGGCTGCTTATAAGTAATCGTCACTTGATTAAACATCAAACGTTACCCTGAAAGCTGTTCAGTTTATTTAGCTACGTGTATTCTAATCTCTGTTTATGATTATTTTTTGTCAGGAAAAGTTGAAAATCGGATTATTTTGAATAGTAATACGTAACGTATAAAGAGAAAAATTGACACCATTTTGTATTAAATATATTTTTATCGATAACATTGTGTGTAGATATTTGAACAAATTTCTCATATAGCAAATAAGCTATTGCACATTATGTTCTGTTTTCTAAAGTACTAAGACAGGAATAAACACGATAGCTGGTCTCGAATGTCTGTATCAAGAATGTAGCCTGTTTAGTAAAAAAATGTTAGGTATTGAATTATGTATTTATTCGAAAAAGTATTGATTTGGCTAATGCCATAACTAAATCGCAATTCTACTCATGGTACGTATTTTGAAGTACAGGAAATGCGAATAATTTCACTATTGTTGTAATATTTGATATTTAACTAACTTGATTTTTTTATTAGTTTCGAATCATGTTGGCCTATATTTTTGTACTTGTCACCTTATATGTGTGGTATCAACTGAAAATAACCATAGCAAATGGTAAAAGGGTGGGCCAAGTTGAGAGTGGTTAATTAATCATTCAACAGCAGTGGGTCCAGTATGACGTCATCGCCAGCAGGCCACCTCAACAATGCATCAGCTGATCCTGACACGTTGGCGGAATTTCGCGGGAAACTGTGTACAAGACAGTATAGAAGAGACACTTTCTCTTTCTTGACATTGATTTATATGTCTAGCGCAGTTAACACTGTAACGAATGTATTGAGGCCAAACCGATGAAGAAAGATGAAATTAATGCAAAAGTGGTAGAGACAGTATATTTATGGGCAATTTGACTTTCAAATAATAATCTTTGATGGAAATAATGTATATTTTTGTTATATGAATCATTTTGCCCACAAAATCATGCTTGTTGGTTGTTCAGTAAAACGCCAATCAAAAATCTATGAACCGATTTATATTATAATTTGCTTTTATGTCGGTACTCCATTACTTCCTTATTTCTGCATCACTCTTCATAAATAAGGTGTAACTTTAAAGCTTTAATCTTCCCCCACACCGTAAAATATATAATTCACTCATACTTCAGGAGTTTCTTGAAAAAATATATTTATTTTTTCATTTTTAAAATTTGAATTACAAATGTTTATGAACTTTTTTTGATCATCAAAAGTATTTTAAAGTATAATTTTTTTCAATCATTTTCGATGATATATTTATAAGGTGAATTAAATTAATCACAACTTTTTTTTATGAATAATTTCTCAAATCGTTTGCTGTATTAAGTAACTTGTTTTTTACTTTAGCCATAGCGACCAATTTATTTTATTCTCCAAACACTTCGTGTGGTTCAGCATAACGTTCGCAAGAATAACACCAAATGTATTGGACCATAATTTACCGTCAATCCCACCGATATCAAACGGTTTTATCTGTGGAAACCACATCTCCACTTTAGAGGCCCAAGTCTTTGGCATTCAGACGGAAGATGAGACACTTTGCTACTTCTATCAGGAAGCTACAAAAAACTCAATAACAGTTATAATTTGTTCTTTTCTCCAGAAAACACCTCTACCTTGTATATGGGAATAAAAAATTAGTGGGCTTACATAAGAAATTATTGATATAAAGGGTTAGTTATAAAATGTGTTCCATAAGGGTCAAAGTATAGGTAATTGAATTCGTAATTTAAAGTGTCTTCAACAATCAACATAGGCTATCCTTCGATAGTTGCGAGCTATACGGTGCAACCTTATACCGTGGCTCTATGTATATTTGTATACCCCAAATCGTACCCTGTTTCCTGACACTTTGTTTTCCAAACAGGTGACCAATAAATATCACGTGGAATGATAACAGTGAGGTTGGATGTCACTGATAACACGATTGAACTGTGACTCCTTCCGGTTTACATCACCTACATCCTGTCACAAGCCACTCTACTAATTTCCTAAAGTGCGTTGAACTACACTTTGTGCCAAATGTTACAATGACATATCCACCTAGTTCGTGTTGATGTGGATATCACTTCACCATGACTATATGTTTTACCAGATGAGTCATCAATTGTATGCCAGCAGTGCTGAAGTGGTTGGTAATGCTTTTACAGCGAAGCCCTCTGTTTGCTTCATTGGAGCCACTTTATTGTCTCTTAGTCATAGATAAGGTTTCTCAACACTTAATTATTGTTTAGCTCGTAAAACAACGCAGTGTAGCCTACATGTCGGTCTCAAATGTTGTATAAATATGGGCGTCGGTTACAAGTTTCTTAAATAAATTAAAAAACGTTGTTCCTATAACAACAAATGAAACGAGTATTGACTGTATACATGCCATTTTCATCTACTGTATGTCAATTGTCAATCATGCTAGCGTTCTAACTGAATTGTTCCAGCACATTATACAACACACCACATGATAATACTTTATTACAGTATTTTAATTCATCACCTTGTTTTAAGGAGTTAACACATTTTTTTGTAATGGTAGCATAGACTAACCAACACAAGGGAGTATGTTTTATCTATGATAGTTTTGTTTGTTCGGAAATCTCAAACCTTGTAAAAATTTTTAGTCTAGTGTTATTGGAGGGAAGAATGGTAAAGAAGAATGTGACTTTCTATAGGGCTTCGCCCTAAAGGGACTCTCTTCAAGATCCAGTGATGGTGACAACTCGCTCGTAGAGGAACTAAACAACCAGGCAGAGCAACAAAACACCGCCCTTTGTTCCTCCCGATACAATCTCTTATTGTAACTAAAAATTACTTTCACTGCTTTTATCGACTAGCATAGGATTGACATCTACGTAAAAACAACAAGAAGATTCCCATTTGTCTTTTTCAAAAAGCAGTATACAGTATAATAAATTTTTTGTGGATTCTTGTTAACAGAAAATGGATAGTTTACGTAATTTCTTTTACTATGACCACATTGGAGCTTAACACAGTTATCAGAGCTTCGTTAACTCCGTTCATGTCGATGAATGCGGTTACATTATAGCATTATACCACTCTGAGGGTTGAAAACCGAGTTTGGAAACAAAAGCAAAGTTCTAGGGTGGAAGTAATTAATTTCATTCCAGACCACATTTATTTAGCAAGAGTTCCAGATTGCTTTGATTCTATTGAGCTAAACCAAAGTGTAATCAGGCCGCAAAAATATTATAATAATTAAGCCATCTCTTAGTAGCATTCTCGAATCTCATTAAAGAACAACACAGAAGTTATATAGAACAACAAATAACAAACATAACCAATTATCTATAGCTCGCGAGTCAGTGGTGGCTCCAAGGGGTACAGGGCCTAAAGCGTCCCCTTGGAGCCTGTAAAAATAAATTTAAACATACATTTCGTCCTTAACACGCAAAGTCATAAAACATACATCAATGTAGTTTTTATTAAGCTAACTAAGAGATGGCAGGAGTAGTATTAAGTCCCACAACTTACACAGGAATCAACCATCAGCAGTAACACCAGTACGGTAGCTTATTACCATTGACTATATAAACCCTATAAGTATAGTATTTAAGTTTATATAGTCAATGCTATTACTGAATTTGATACTATACAAATTGTGACAGATCTATGAAATGGAGAATAAGATTGTATTAATTTGAATAATTTACAGTGTTCACAGTCACTGTGCATATTAGTAGTTATAGTCACTGCACATTCTTTATAGAATGTGTAATTTTGTATTAACTATTTATAATTTTGATTGTAACTTTTTTTTTATTTTTGTGTGTCTTTTAGTTATATTATTATAACTAAAAGACACACAAAAATAAACACAACCTTGAACTCAGACGAAAAACAAATACTTTCAACACTTTTGAAAAACTATATATTAAATTAAGTATCTGTACTTACCTCACAAATGACAGCGACTACATCAACAACAGCCAAGGCATGACAGAGTAGAGAGGCAGTCCCAGCAGTCAAGGGAACAACATGAGAGGTGCCTAGTCCAGAGTCGAGGGCGGTGTACAGGGAGGCGGCGCGGGCGAGGCCACAGGCCAGCCAGAACACGGAGGTGACGAGGAGGTACCTGGGCTGGTAGCGGGCCTCGGCCTTACAGTAGAGCAGCAGAGCTGGTGGCCAGGCTAGCAGGGCCGAGGTTGCGGCAAGGAGGCCGCGGACACCGAGGACAGCGGCGCAGACCTCAGCAGCATGAGTGAGGAGCAGCAGGAGTGACAACAGCGCGCGTAGTGAGTGACCAACGAACCTCCGGCTGCTGAGGCATTCATTCCTGAAGATATGGACCATTTAGAGAGATAACAAAACTAAATAAGCCGTGCCATGCGTCTAAATTGAGTGGCATTGATACTTACTTGATGCTGGAGCAGCGCAGGTAGAGCAGGATGAGCAGTGCGAGGTAGGCGAAGCAGGAGTACACGGCGGTGTTGAGGAGGTCCAGGTGACAGCGCCAGCGGCTGTGCTCTTGGCTGTCCGTGTGGTTGCCGCTGGTACCGAGGCCGCACAAATCGTCCATCTCGTGCCTCACATACCACAATCTGAACACGCATAGTAAAGTGAATCTTTGATAGGATATTATAGTGAAAATGTAGGCTATGAAAAGAAGGCTACTTTCTTACAGAAACCCATGGGAGTTCGATTGTTACTGAATCATACCTAAATTACAATCTGCACTTTACATTGGCTTGGATGGGTTACAGGTGTGATGATCTATAGATAACGTCCAAACGATCTGAACACTATTTTAAAGCGACCAGTTAGAAGGTGATAGGGCGCTGGAACTATGAAGTGAAAAAAAAACAAGACAGATAGTGGGGTACCATATCTTGTTTTGTTTTTTTAACTACATAGTTCCAGCGCCTTGTTGCCTTCTAACTGATCACCTTTAAAATAGGTTTCATGTCATTCGGACGTTTATCTATTGATACTATCAGACTCCACCTATGGTGCACTTAAATGTTGAAGTATTCCCTGAAAAAACTCGACAGCTTTCTCTACTCTTCGTTATATAAATTAGAGTAGCTCTAACGTAACCTCGTTTTTATTGAATATATTATTATACTTTATGAGTTTCTACTTCATTAGAAGGTCGCCATTTCATTGACAAGTATTAAAAGTATTAAAAAGTGTTTTACTTTTACACAGATTAAGAGCGATATTTTAAATAAATAATGCGATAGGACTATATTTTACTGTAGTTTTGACTATGTGTTTACAGGTATAAAAGCTGCTACATTATTATCTCTTTTTATGTGCTTTGGTACTTCTTAGATTATGTATGTTAATTGCAATGTAATATACAATACTTTATTTGATAGGCTAACGTAAATATTTCGTGTTTTTTACTGTCATTACTCCACTAAAGTAAATGTTTTACTTTCCTCTTCCTCTAGTAGCCTATATTTCCTCCCATAAATCATGTTGAATGCATAGTCAGTAACAGCATTGCGGCTTTTTACTCATCAAAAGCTCATCTCACCTCCCCTCATAGCAGAGTGACAGCCGAGAGGACCAACTTCCGAATTAGAGTTCCCCTCAATAACCGGGGCGTCATAGAGTAACGCTATATGTGTGTGACGTTCGTGCCTCGCCGCCGCCACAGAGCACGAACTACCAGCACGAGCCGCACACAGTAAACAAACAAATACAGTATACTTCGATACGTAGTGTTTATTTTGATACCGTTGGATCTTTAAAGAAGTGGTAAAGGAATGTTGGACTATCTTTGACAATGATCTTCGTTGTTTGTAGGCTGATCACGTGTTCATACTTGTCAAATTTCAAGGTTAAACAAAAACAAACAGTTATATTAAAGTTACATACAAGTACCTTTTTTTTTATAAAATAACTTGACCATTAGAGTGTTTTTACCGTGAATTAGAAACGTAATGCATACAAATCAACTAACGATAAGTAATTGTTATATTAGTGCTTCCAAATTTTAAGTGTCTATTTCGAAAAACATCAACTAACTGATATTATAATAGGTTACTAGCTGTTTGCCATTAAATGTTGTTGTACAATTTATACTGTTAATCATTATATTAAAAGAATAAGGAGTACGGTTCTAGTGCCTGAGATACTAGATAAACTGTTCGAATTATAAATGGCTTGTTTAGTTTTAAATCTCTTAAATTATAGATGCATCTTTTAAAAGGTTTCATTCGAGTGGCCAGGATAAAAAATCCCTTAGAATCTAAAATCTCAGAATCCAAAGGAAGAAACGAGAGAAGCCTATATGTACTGAAGGTTTTGACCGATTTAAATGACAATTAACAGCTAATTGTATCACAAATAATTCGCCAATGCATCAGATAAGTAAGTTTACTACCAAATAGGCTGATATTATGTGATGGGCTTAGAAAAAAGATTCTAGTATGGTTTATAAAATGGAGTGATTAAGCTGCCGAATGTTATAAAACCAATTAAAGTACTAAATTGATTATAATTTCTTCTAAAATAAACTTTTCTTAGTAAGTAATGCAACACAGTCACTAAGACGTGCTAAGTCGCTAAGAGACCTAACTCAATCCAAACCATTGTATTTAATGGAAAACACAAAATATATTGTAGAGTACAACAGCCAAAGAAGTTCATTGTCGAAAATGCTTGTAGTTTAAAATACAACTGTACATAGCCTAAGTGCTTTAATTGATTCACACAATATGAAATACATACAATTGTTCGTTAGATATCTTGCCAACTTCACGAAACTAACTTCTCCCTTATCAGTTTCTAACAATGCTTCTACCAAAATGGAAAGTTGTAATTGAAGGGAATGTATATTATGGCAGTAGTTTTGCGGTATGATACAAATAAACCATTTACACATACGTTTTTGAACAGGAAATTAATATAATGCGTTATATGTTTTCGCAAAATATTATTTGTGTTCGGGTTTATGCGAGAATCGCAGAGTATGTCTCCGTTTAAAAAGTAGAAAAGTCATTTATTAAATGAAAAAGATAACCTAGGGAAATAATTAATGATAGTTACGGTAGTTATAATGATTATATTAATGAAATAAACTGTATCATCACTTTGTAGGGTTGTCATTATTCAACCAATCTTTATTATCCGTTAATAGGACAATCCAACAACTAATACTTGCGCAAAGGTGAAAATTGACAATTTAGAGGAGGCAATTTTGCACGGAGTAGACTATAGATGATGATAACATACGAATAAAGTTATGGTGTATGGCTGGAGGTAAAATAAATTGATGTCGTGACCTCAAACAACGAGATGGTCATTCTATTTTTGCAATCGGAAGTTATAAGAAAATCTGCTTTCCACTAAAGTTAAAGACAAGGCAAAATACACCGAATGCTACAGCCATAACAATTAATCAGCTGATATAAGCTGTTGTTAAGGCGGGAAACTTTCTAGGCGCTGTCACCCGCCGACGCGATAGGCACCGTTCCAGGGAACAATGAGTGGCTCCAAATTTATTTTGAATCGGAAATCACACTAACTTAGTGTTAGTTCTCAGGACAAAGTTTTCCTACAGTTACCTGACAAAGTGGGCTTCCTTGAACTGATTAAATCACGCAAAGTAGCTAATTGCAGCATTTACTTACTTTTACCGCACTCATTTTTGTCGCAATCCAGTTTTTCAAACAAACAACATAAAACAGCGTGCTTTTAATAGGCACTTAGTATGTGTACGCTTGGAAATAAGTTGGCAACACTTAAAGATATAACAGCTACGATCAGCTGGTGAGGCGTTTCCCATTTCGTCCAATGCTTGGATTTAACATAACCTAAAAACGGCTTGGATAGTATTTGAAAGATCAATTATTTATACGATTTATAGTAACTGTAGGACACATATAATGTTACGCGAGTGCAAAGGGCGTTTGCTGCATTTTAGAAACTTTCCACACTAGCCTACGGTTCGTACGTAAGAATTTCTCTCATGTGCAGCAAAGTGCTACTTCGAACATGAGTTACACAAATAATTATTGCGGAAGGTATACCTCGCCCTTGGCTCGATTTGAGCCAACCTGGGAAAGTGCCTCGAGGGACAGGATGCTGCCTGGGAATGTTTTCGCGTTAAAACAAATGATAACTTGGTAGTTGCTAATTATTTGTTTTGGGTTTTTTTTATGGGAGAATCAAACAAGTCTTGACATGTTGGAGTCCCGATATGGGGTTGGTGCTTTAACGAATGAAATGTTCTGATTGAAAAATTCATTAACTGTAAAAATTTCTCTAGTTCAATTAGTATAGGTATACATGTACAGGGTGACACAAAGGAACCGGACGTTTTTTAAACAAGTAGTACACAGTAGTTAAAAGGAATAAAATGGTTTTAATAATGTACATAGTGAGGTAAACATTTGCCATTTGTTACAAAAAAGTATTTTTTTTAAATGACGTCATGCATATGGCGGCCATGTAATTATCTACAAATGTTCATTCTGGTCTGAAAATCATCTGAAACTCGGGTCAGGAGGTCTGGTTCAATGCCATTGATATCTTCTGTAATTGCAACTTCAAATCCTCCAGAGTGCGTGGTTAAGTAAGTAATCACTAGTGGACAAGTCAGGTGATCTCGGCGGCCACGGTATGTCACTAAAGCGAGAAATCACCTTGTTTCCTTGTTATGAAACATTCATTCAATACTGCTCTCACTCTGGCGATGTTTTCGGGTGTTCTCGAAGTTCTAACAAGGCCTAGTGGTATCTTCTTTGTTATATTACCAGTTGTTCTGAACCCTGAAACCCATCTTAATAGCGTATTTCGGCTTGGAACCGTTCTCCATGGCGTTCAATGTTAAAATATCGACTCAAATCCCGCTAGATTTGACGACGGATTCACCATTTCGGACCAAAGTATCGTGTGCGAAAACGCGATGGCCTAGGGTCCACTGAGCCATTTCAACAAAAATGGCAAGTCTCACTGAAGGTAATGACATAACTTCAATCTTCCTACCACTTGCGACAACAATGGAACAGCTGTTTAAAAAACGTCCGGTTCCTTTGTGTCACCCTGTATAATCTTAAGAGTAAGAGGGACGTAACAATATTTTAAATAATCTTAGGCCCCCTTCGGTTTTAAAATCATCGGTAAGAAGATAAATCTTAGGTCCCCGATTGTGATCAAAACATTTTAAAAGTACACTTATTAGAATTTTTAATATTATTGTCACTTGTCCCTCTACGGAAGAGTGGGGGAGGGGTCAAAATATAAGAGATTAACATAAAAGTTAATTCAAAAATTGTTGTAATTTAAACAAAATACAGTTTTAGACCATCAAACCTACAAAAATTCAAAATATCTATAACGTCTAGAAACATTGAACATCAGTTTTCTATAGGAGGGATACTGAAGGAGGGTAGATTTTAGAAAGGATTGGTCTCTATTAAACATTTCCGAATGATTTATGACCATGACCAACTTACCTAATGGTTACCAAGACCTTAATATGCTTGAAACCACATTTTATTTTCCGCTCTCTTATTCTCCATAATATTAACATGGGAGATTTTTTATCCATAGAGAGGGGTTAAATTGGGAACATGGGGATTTTTTTATCTTAAAGGTTCTTTGGGCCGAAGACCGTACTCCGGGAAGCCAAAACCACTAAAAACAGGAAAAATAAGGTAACATTTCAAGTTCAAGCCTGAATTTGGGGGTAAAGGGTTGGAGATGGAAAAAATGTTAAATTACAAAGTTGTAGATCGTGAAAAGTTAGTGACTGGTAGTGCTCTCCCTTTTTTCAAACGGACCAATGCTTGAGCCGCAACAGACGTTTAAACAAAGAAATTTGAGAGACCAATCCCAAAAACCCACTTTTACAGATAGATGAACCTCAATATTACAATTATTAGACTTTTAAAATAATAAAAAAACAGCTAATTATGTTCCTAGCAGTGTTCTTGTATATCTTTAGACCAACGATCGTAGCTGTAAATTATCGGTTTGTAATATCAACCCTACACCTTATGGGTATTATGGAATTACCAAACGGGACTACCCATATTGTTTTCAGTGGGGAACATGTTCAATTTCGCGTATTTTAATAATAGTGTCCACATATTTTTGTATGTACAGATACAGTCGAATATTTAAGGGAAAAATAGACTACTTCCATTCCTGTTTAAGTACAAAGGAGGTTGTGATCTTTGGTACAATTACTTCTATGCATTATGAGGTATTTTGCATTTTAAATGCTCACGCTCAGGTAGTGATTACGCTAAAACTCGTAAAAGTAACAATGGCATCGTAAAAGTGTTAATAATAACAAGTGATATACGATGATAACGATACATTAACAAGTTACACACAGGAAGTTATGAGTACGAATGAAACATAAAGTGAAACTACAGGTTTTATTACAAGTTTCGTTTACAAATTTAATGTATTAATTAATTTTAACCAAAGTTAATTAAAGGCCAGTTGGCTCTTCTTTCAAATGCTGATATTTTTACAGCACCCTTTTGAAGTTGTAGTAACACATTTTATAGGCTCAATGATATGCATATGAACTAGTTCTTAGGTAAGCCTAATTGTTCTATTAGTTACTGTACTCTTGGTGATGGTGCCATTTGATTTCCTCCCATATAGTATGTAATATAGTAGGTTATTCTTACCGATAAAGATTTTATAAACCTTAATGCGGTTTATATCATCTGTATGGGTAAGAATGACCCAACAGATATTACATACTGTACGAACTATTTTATTTTAATAGTTATATCTTACTTGGTTAAAATACTAAAAAAAACGTTGGATCTAACACTCAATAAAGCTATTAAATGTGTGGCTATGAATAGTGAACCTTCACTTTTTAATTGCGTAAATTAAATCGTTTCTTTCGCGTAATTGGAATTATTGAACTATATTTGAAGATTATTTTTATAGGTACTCAGTAGATAAATTTCAACCACACAGTTAACGTGTTGATTATATGGGGGGTCATAAGTAGGTCTCATGGACAATTTGACTGAGTTCTCATAAATTATTTGTAAAAGATTATCACCTTTTTTATGTCACGACATGCATTGAATGGACTTCATACTGTTTAACTGTTTGACTTCTATTCCTTGTGAAACTGTTCTTGAATATTAATTTAACAGTGTTTATCGTAGTACCTTGATAAGAAGACTCTTATGGGTATAATCAAATATGACTCGTTATCATGGTTGACTCCTTTAGAGGTTTGCAATAACATGCATTTAAGGGCAATATAAGTTCAAGGGAATTTCAAAATGACACTTGTTATCAGGGGCCACTTGTTTTTTAGGGTTCTCTTATCGAGGCTCCACTGTTTATATTTTTCTGTGTGTATGAAAAGTTGTTTTATACTAACAAGTAGGTCTACTATAGACAATTTATTAGATTAGCAAAAATACATTTTTAGCAGCTAACATCTTAACAAAAAGGTCCAGTACAAATATGGTGTTGACAAAGTTGGCCCAATTTTCCCTTAAAAATACAAATAATGACCTTTATTTTTCGATTAAAAATTGTATTTTTTTATTCATATTATATTGTATTTTTGAGGATGAATAATGGAACATTCTTCAATAATGCAGGTAAAAAATGTAAAGTCCCAGCGATAGGCTACAGTCAAATAAGAGCGTAAATATCTATTGTAATTAAATGGTTTATCGAGTAACTGAAACACGTTAGCCACAGGTTGAACACCACTTACCTATGATCCGCTGCCAAGTTCCCACCTGATCACTGAACACTGAACCGTGAACACTGAAAACTGAAATGCGCCCTCCCCCCCCCCTCCACCTCCCCCATCGTGCTCCCCCCCCCCCCCCGTTACACTATGACCGCTTCATCAATGACGGTATGTGAATATCTCGTTCATTCATTTAAAGTTGTCTAAGCCTGTCTTAATCTTGGCGAACCTCTTATTCGTCGACTCTTATGCATTTTGTTTACGCAAACTCCTCCTAGACGGCTGAAGCAATTATTTTAAAACATCAAGAAATAGCTAAGAGAATTTTTTTTAAATTTTAATCTTGGATATTAGAACAGAACATAAACTGTACGGATCATAAAAATAGGCTAATTACGTCAATGACTCAAACCTTTTCAAACAAAAATATTCAATAATCCAATAGTTTATCTTGTATCTCGGTTTAAAGATCCGCAATACTGTTTTAACATAATGATTGAGAGTATTAATTTGTCAAAGAAGTGTCATTTTTTTGTATTGGTTCGGTTATTTAAATGTTTATCAGAATTTAAACTTTGGGGGCACTGATTTAGCAGATTTAGAATTGGTAGTAATGTTTCTATTTCATGTAAAAATACTCTAACGATCAAATTATTTTATAGCCTAAATGAAGAGTAAGTAGACAGTGTATTTTTCGAATAAATCTGTTGTTTGTTCCATGATAGTGATTATTTTTTATTTAACCTTAAACGAGTCAGAAAGTGGAAATCCAAATAAACGTATTAATATATTTTATAGCAATTATAAAATGATTTATTTATTAATATAAAATGTCAATGACTGCATAATTACCCCAGGAATAAATTAAGGAAGTCGTAAAAATCGTTTATATGCTACCAACCAATGGCTCGAATCCCCCCAAAAATCTTAAAATCCCCCCCCCCCAATCCGAAGTCGCAACTTGCGACATTCGTTCTTATTCGCTCATAGTTTTCTTTGTAATATATATAATAAGCTACAGGTAAAGAGGTTTGACTAAATTAGCCTTTGTATGTACAGTACCTACTAACAATATCAAGACATTGCATTTATTGGTACGGTATGTTATTAGATTCTTAAAGCTGTATTGACATCCAATATATTGGGGCTTTGAAAGTTCAAAATGTATAAATACACTTTGAAATGAGTTCATCTTTTTAAATTAAATTTTAGACTCCATGGGTGCCTTTTCCTACTGTACTTGGTTGTCTAGAGAATTAGAACCCTTATCTGAATTTAAAGAACTTAACTACACTAAATAGTAAAATAAGGGTTTGGTTTCTATGGTAAATAATATACAGTATGTGTACCAACTTCATATAGCACATCTAAATGACAGCATCATTCTCTTTCCCCCCATTGCGAAACACGGGTAGGCTATTTAAGATCGTAACTAATTTATTAGCGTATCAAGATTCACAAACTAAATTAAATCAAATGAACCTGTTTTGTGCATATTTTTCAATATAAGTGTCAAAACAATCTTTACCAAAAAAACTGTTTATGTCAATAAAAACACACACTTCTTTAATTGAATGTTACTAATAAAACCATAATTAATTATACCATTTCCCCTAATCCTGCCGTCTAAGCAAATTTCCATTTGCCTGAAATGATTTGCAATTAATCTATAACAAATAACATTAGGTTTAAGGAGTACTTTAGTTTGCTCCTACAAAGAAACTAATAACGTGTATTTTAAGTAAAAAATTATAGCTTAGTATAAAATTAATAAACTTGCTAAGTTTGATCAAATTATGTCCATAAACAAGCAAACTGCAACCTTTTACAATATTCTCCATAAGAATAGCATGGGAATTTATATTTACAATTGTTTGAGTTTTCTCCGTAACCAATCGCCGTACAAAAACCTATTGATAGCCTATAATGAATTATTTGTTTTTTAAGCTCTTTAAGAAGGTTTAGAGAGAAATTGGAAAATTTTATGTGTTGAGGGTCAAAATGAGAAAACCCCATTTTTACCCCCATAAAACCCCGTTCCCATTGTCCGTTCATGCTAGTTTGCAAACTCATTCAAGTGTATCCTGCCTTACACCTTCAAACCAAATTTCATTAAAGTCGGACAACAATTACTCAAGAACATTTGAACGAATTGTGTTTTCGGCCTCTGGGGACATCAAAATGAAAAAGTAAATCGGTCCCGGGCCTAGGTGTTACCGTGCCACTTACGGTAATAGCTACTTCCCTATAGGGAAATTCACTAAAAATGAGCTATCCGTAACGGCTCCCTCCCCGTTATATCGGGGTTATTATTATTATTATTGGAAAGGAGTAATCTTCAATACCGACGTTGTGTGTAGTTCCTGGTACCTCCGCTGCGCGACTTCCGCAGCACTATCCACTCGCGGTTGCTGTTAGCGAATTTCTCTATATGGAAGTAGTTATTACCGTAGGTGGCACGGTAAGACCTACACCAGGGACCGATTAACTTTTCCATTTTGATGGCCCTATTAGTAATAGATAGATTAATAGATACAAAAAATAACGTATCTAATATTTTAACAGATAGGTACTCTTCTCTTGTGACTTAATTTATAATGAGTGCTCAAGAGAGAAGATCAGAAGTTCTTGATGAGCAAAATATCACCCCATTCCTGGGATAATGACTGCAACAATCATGCAATTGCAGATGAGTATTTTGCTGGACAAAATTAATCGTAGTTCACATAATTGACAGATAATGTGATGTATTTAAAGCACGGGTCACACTAGGCTGTTCGCCAGCCGCTGGTGATCAGCAGCTGGCACCAGCATCACCGGTTCACCAATCCAGGCTGAGTCAGCTCAGTGTCAGCTGCGAATTTTGTGGTCACATTAAGCTGACAGTCGCGACTTCTTTCAATTCGCCGCTGATGCCAGCCTAGTGTGACTCGTGCTTAAGCACGGGTCACACTAGGCTGCTCGGCAGCCTCTGGTGATCAGCGGCTGGCACCAGCACCACCAAGCAGCGGCTTTTCCACGGGTCACACTAGGCTGCTTGTTAGCCGCTGGTGATCGTGATATTAACGATGTGTGAGAAGGAACAGAACAGCTGTGAGGTTTTGTAACAAATCACTGTAAGCTGCTTATTTGACGTTTTTACTTCTTTTAAGAAACGTCTCACAAGTACTGTAGCCTACGTTTAGTTTTGGAATAAAGAAATCAATAACCTGCTTTCCCGACCACCTAAGCTCAGTAATTTCTATGCTACAAATACTACTTTAATCGCCGAGTTTAAAGCTCAGTTCTTGAGGCCATTTCGTCCTTTTTTTTGGGTCCTCATCCAGCACTACTTAATATTGAATTGAGGATGTATGAAAGAGAAATAATTTTATTAAAAGATGCTTAACCGCAAGAAGAGACGTTAGTGGATCAGGCCATGGATACAAATAATTTATAAATAAAAATACTTTTTAAAAATGCTACGTTTTTAAACGCACTAAAAAAAAGAATCAGAAACATACCAAAATGTTTTACGAATGTCACCAGTCACCATCACATACATTCTAGGCATTACTAAAATTAGTTAAACCTCTAATTAAAAAATTGAAACAGTTGCTTTTGTCCTTTTGTGTTGTTAAACCAAGTTGGAAATTATCTTTGGTCGCCGCTGGCACGCTTCTAAAAGTGGTCAGAATACGCTGCTCGCTGGCGTCAGCGAGTGCGAGTGGTCACGTGACCTCTATTCGCCGCTGCCTCGCTACCAAAAATTGAACATGTCCAACTTCGCCAGCCGCTGACAAATACTCGCCGGCTGACGGTGCCAGCTGCGAATTTTATGGTCACATCAAGCTGACAGTAGCGGCTTCTTTCAATTCGCCGCTGATGCCAGCCTAGTGTGACCCGTGCTTTAACGGTTGATGCGAATAATTACAAACTTTTTTTAGAGAAATGTATTAAATGTATGTTATGAATCAAGTTTTAATAATGAATGCCTTTTAATAGAGATAAGAAAAACACTTTTATCCATACTATTATATAAAAATCTAATGGTGTCTGTCTGTATGTGTGTTACTAATAGGTGAAAAAACTACTGAACCAACTGGGCTTAAATTTTACAAAAATATAGCTACCATACCAAGGACCATTATAGGACTATTCACATTTCGATACTGACCGTAGGCTTTGCCCCTTTGGCTTTGAAAGTTCTGTGGTGAACATTTTAAAAGTAAATATTGATTGGTCTCCATGGCTGCGATGAGAACACTAACAATGTTTGTTTACATTTGCTTTGACATTTAAATTTAAACAAGAAGAACTACTAAACTGCATATTTCACAATTTCAGACAGCTGATACAAAGAAATTAAATATAATATTTTCTATAACTATAGGTGTAACTATAACTGTATATAACTATAACTATAACTGAGGTAGGTTTATTTTCATCTAACATTTTATCATGGATTATTTATTCTTAAACTATGTCAATGATTATAGAAAAAAAGATTCTATAACCGTTGCTATATCAACTCCGGCTCTGCTGGATTTTTTAAAGCGTCTAAGTTATGAAAATAATGTTATTGATATGTTTTCATGGAAACACAGTATGAAAATTACGATGTATAGATGGTTTGTAAGAATTTGGAGGCTACTTTAAATAAATTCTAACTGCTTAACATGTGTTCGATTAACTTAACATAACTTGCACATCACATTGTTTTTATATGTATATTTAGGTAAATTAAGTTATTGTGTTTTGCTAAACCTATGCTTAAATTAAACTTTTAGAATATAATCAATAACTAAATTGTACGTGGTTGATTTTTTGTTTTCTAAAATCTGTTGTATATGTGTAACTATATTTAATTATCAAATGGTAATACAAAATACTCTTATTTTATCTTAACATAGCTTTCAGTTCACATTTACTTTATTTGATACATTTATTATTTGTGTTTTGCCACACCATTGATTAAATTAAACCAAGGAAATTATCATAAAACTAAGCAGTACACAGTGTTCTTTTGTTTCTACAATCGATGAAATATCTGTTACTATG